TGTCTGCCATATTTATTCAGCCCATAGTGAAGTGTAAAGTGAGATGTGCTACGCAGTGGTGTCCCTGACCTTTGGCTGGAACCTCCAGGTCAACCAGTAACCTCAGTTAATATTAGTACACTTGTCATTTATCCATTCACTGCAAAGGCATCACACCTTGCATGTTCATTATCACTCTACATAATTTATTAACTCCTCAAATGTTGCATATATTCATTAGTGCAGTTTCTTCATGCATAATTAATTGACATTTGTCACATTCTGGATGCATTGCTGTTTTTTAATCAATGTACTCCATTCATGTGTCTATTTACCCATACAGATTCAGAAATCTACTTATGTGCATAAACAATTATGTGATTAATCAATTTGTCAATCAACAGATGATTAATCAACAACAATTTTTATAATCGATTAGTTGTCTGGAACATCTAGCAAGTCAAATGCCAACCATTCTCTGGGTCTTGTTTCTCAAATGTTGCTTTTCTCTGTTTTAAATAATTTTAAATGTCATATTAAGGGGTATATTTGGTTTTTAATGGGCTCTGGAAACTGCTGACAACAAATTTGATTATCGAGTAATTGTCAGTCATTTTTTAAGCCTAAATGCCAAAGATTCAGTTTTTTTCTCTTTTTAAATGTGAGGATTTGCATCTTAGATCATCTTAGATCATTTTAAGCATACATAGTATTTTGGCAAGCAAGTGGTCGATTAATCTATTAGTTGATCCATAGAAAATGAATGAGCAACCATTTTCATAGACTAAACGATGATCAGAACATAATGAAAACATTAAAAAAAGATAATTGTTAGCTGCAGTCCGAATGTTAATTTGATGTTTTTTTTGGTGGTTAAGATCTTTTATGTTGTGGCAATGTTTTGTGAGACTGTTCATTCACCTAGATGATACTCATGCAATAGGAGTTAACAAGCAATAATAGTAATCGTTATCTTCAGTGCATCATGCATGTTTTGTATCATTAAAAATTGAATTGTTTGGGTGCTGGATTGTTTTTTTTTGGGCAAAACAATCAGACTGAAGAGGCTCTGGAAAGATATGATGGTTATTTTTCCTTCTTTTCTGATGTGTTATAAACTGAACAATTTATAAATGAATGATTTATGAACGTTATTATTATTTTCTCTAGTCTTAATCCAGAATGTGTGAAGGGAGGATTCTACCATTGAAAGTGAGGTTCTGTCTAAGGCCTCCTCCCATCATCAGAGTCAGTGAAATGGGTCTTATTGGTTTGTTTACATCATGACATATGAAGGGATTTATTGCAATGTGTTTCTTTTTTATGACCATTAAGCCTTAAGGTTTCCCAGCAGTGGGGAGGACACCCCTGTTACATTATCACTGATGGAAAGACACCCTCTAGTGGACTGTTAATGTAACTGAGGCTGTTCAGATTCAGAGCATGTCGGTGGTCCAGACTGTTGACGCATGACACCAAATTTGCCAAAGACACAGAAGATGCCAAAATAAATGAAATCTGAAGAGGCACAGTAGCAAATCTGGCTGTAAGCAATGAGCAGAACACAGGGAGTGGTGGTGAAACCCAACTTCAAAAATGAAGTGAATCAGCAGGGAACCTAACTAAATATAAGATAACTGTTGGAGATCTGTAATGAATTTGATTCACACACATCCAGTTTGATTTAGTCTCAGTTTGTTTCCTGCAGCCACCAGCAGAGAGCAGCAGAAAACGCAGGACTCACAGGATGCTGTCAGCTGCTTATTTGTCTTTCTCTCTATGGCAGCAGCTATATGTCGTCTTTTTGTGAGTTGGGACTGTTGGGGAAGAATACCAAATCTTAAATTTGATTAATCATGTATTTTAAAGTTAATTACTTTTACAGCTGTATAAATGTATATCTCAGTTGTGCTGCAGAGGCTCCAGTATGAATAGAAACTTGTGTAAGTGTGGGACTATGACTACCAGAATCCAAACTGGTATTGAAACCTAGTAACTAGTAACTAACGTAGTAACTTACAGTGAAGTACTGTACTTAAGTATGCCACGTTATACTTCTCCAATACATTTCAGGGAAATATTACAGTAGTTTTTGCTGCATGATCTGACAACTGTAGTTACTTTATAGATATAAAACATATATACAAAAGCCAAGGTCAGCTATTACGTATAGTATGATACATTGTTATAGATTAGACAACAGTGTATAAGCCAGTAAAAAGCTGCACCTCAACCAACTACAACATCAAAGTGCAGCTTATATATCAATGCATCAATCTCAAATGATATAATGCTATAGTAGTAATAAGAGCCATTCTGCATAATGAGCATTTTCACCTTTTATACTTTATACTTTTTCATACTTTAAGTGGGCTACATTTTGTTGCCTTTTACAAATGGGGTATTTTTACATTGTGGTACTTAAGGACTTGAATACTTGTTCCACAAACTTCTTTCTCCAACTGAAACTGCTAGTAGCCAGTGGTGGAAAGTATAATTATAGATATATTGTTCTTGAGTACTATTTTGAGCTACTTGTACTTGGGTATTTCCTTTTTTTTTTCTTACTTTATACTCATACTACTACACTACATTTCAGAGGGAAATGTATTTATCTGACAACTACAGTTATGATTTACTTAACAAATTAAAATATTAAAATTTTAAACAAATACAACTTTCAACAGTTTATAACAGTTACAGATCAAACTACAGATAAAACTTATAAACAGTAGTAAATACATACATATATAAATGCTGATATATAAAATAGTTACACTTATGTCTTTTTTTTTAAACAAATGCAACAAGTTAAAGTGTAAATAATAACAAACACATAATAATATACGTAGTAATGAAACACTGACAGGAGACATTCTGCTGCATAATGAGTACTTCTACTTCTGATACGGCTCTGTAGTATTAATGCAAGACTTTTACTTGTAATGGAGTATTTTTACATTGTGGTATTATCACTTTTACTTGAGTAAAGCGTCTTTGCACATTACGTATTACTCTTTGTGGAAAACCTCTAAAATGATGTCTTGTTTTACTTGGAAGCAGCCTGTTCTTGTTCCCTAACATCACAGTTTCATCTTGCTCTGATCTTTACTTTCTCTTGTTTGTCTCTCTGTGTGTCTGTCTCCGTGACGTGAGTCCTGCAGTAGGACATCACCTGCTCACCTGGCTGAGGGGCTCATGCTAATCTAAAGCCGATTAGACTTCTTATCTACTCAGCGCTGGTTATGTGCTTTGGGCCAACAAAAATACCGTGCAGCGTTGGCCTCTTTACCGATCCTGCTGACTCTTCACAGCTCCCCCCATCTGCTCTAACTAAGCCACACTGGCTTTGATATCATTCCTCCTCATTCCTCGTGTCTGGGGTTTGCAGACAATGTGGATCTCTATTTAGATGGATGTGTTTTATAGTGGATTGTGCTTCAGGAGAATAGATGAAGTTTACCTTACCCGTAGCTATTTGTCAATATGGAATCAGAGGATGTGTTACTTGAAAGTCAAAGCTTTAAGGCACGAAAAATAGAGAAACTTACCTAGAAGAGTCTCTCGCAAATACACGTACTATTATGTTTGTGAATGCATCAGGTGTATAACCACACACACATACACATGTCCTTACACTGGACATGTGAAGAGTCATCCCATGTCCATGTGAAAGCAGTAATGCCATAATTGCCCTTATCCTATTGACTTAATCAGGAGCCCTGCGGCACTCACTGCATGCCTCGCCTCCTGATCTCAGGTCCGTTCAACTCAAGGTCGAGACAACACAACGTCATTATTTCACTGTTGAATCACATCTCTAAAATCCTTTATTCATGTACACAATCTCATTTCTACACAGACACAAAAAAATCATATGGAAAAAAACTTTACATGGATTTGAATAAAAGTTTTAGCTTAATTACATTATTTTTTAAAAAAAGTTAAATTTTTTTTCATCATTTCTACACTATGTACAAAGACAGCAACCCAGGTGTTAGAATATACATACATAGGTGTCAATATACAGATACTGAATGCACAAGGGAAACGTCAAAGAGGATCTGAGATTACAGTACAGGGGTCAGGAGCCAAGATTTAGCTGCCAATTTCAGTCGCCCTCCACAGGTTTGGAGTTGCCCCTGCTTCTCTCTGGAGCTCACCTCCTGATGCCCAGGCCTCACTCTTCGACGGTGCGCCTCAACATTCATGCATAATTCATACCGATTCATTCAATTCATAATTTTACTCCATCTCAGGAGCTGCTCCAGTCTTCATTGTGGACAAAGGTGGACTGGAGTATAAAAAGTGATGAGTGGGGGGAGGTTAATTTGTTTGCTTTGCCTATATACAATATTAGCTACAAGCCAAAACACTATAGACTGTAAATATCCATCTGCACCTCTGGCTTCATGAGAGGGGGGGTTGCATGGCAACCACCATCCCCACCAAACTACTGGAGAACAATACAAAGGAAAAATTTCATACTTACTTGTGATTGCAAAGCATCTGACATTTATCAATAGATATCATATTTATTTGATCTATTATTTTGCACTTTTTTTTTTTTTTTTTTGGAAAAAAGAATCCAAATCCAGAATATCAGGAACAGAAGCAGGGGATCTCAAAAGTCGGAACTGGTTTGTTTGGGGAAAACCAAAATTAAAAACCAAAACAATTCATTCTACTCATAATCTCTCTCTATGTATGAATATACAGTGTTATTTATGCGAGGAGTCCATTTGTAAGGAGTCTGTTTAAAAGGAGTCCATAGCCAAATATGTGTTTGCGGGTAGCGTCTACATAATAAATGTTGGTAGAAAAAAGTAGCAATCTCACAAGTCCCCTTCCTCTCCTCCTTCAGGTGGGAGTGGTGTCAGTTTTTGCAGGAGGGGTTAGCTCAGCTCACTGTCGCGACTGCTACCTCGCCCCCCTCCTCCACCTTGCTGCCTTTGCCCATAGCCTTCATTTTGTCCATGATGTCGGTGAACGTCTCCTTCACTGTTTTCTCCAGGATCCAGCCCTCGCTCTCACTCTCCGGGTCCTCCGGGTTAGCCAGGGTGGACAGGGAGCTGTCGACGTACTGCAGGCCGATGGTCACCGCGACCTGCAAAGGACAGGAGCACATATCAGAAAAACCCCAAACCTGGGCCCTCAGGCCAAACCCCCCCTATGTCATCAGAGGGCAAAACACATTGACTGGGCCCCAAACTGGAACACATATAACAGATATAACTTCACGTAAACAACCTCAGTCAACTCCATTTAAATGACTCAAATGTTGTTTCATGAAAGGAACAAACTGTCTTCAAGATTCGCTTTTGCAAAGTATAAGTAGATGAAAATCTGATTTATCATCATCATTATAACTAATAAATATTCTGAGTTAAAAGTACAACGATTAACTGGGAAAAAAAGATTAATCAATTCACTTTTCATGCAAAAAGACCCAAAATGTTACACTTCCAATTTGTCCAGTGTAAGAATTGGTGGTTACCTCGTCTTACATCATAGTAAATTGAATATCTTTTGATTTTGGACTGATGAAATTTTAATGGTGATTTTTCACAATTTTCTATGGCTTATAGATAAAATGATTAATCAGTAAATTATGGAAATAATTGGCAGATAATGAAAATAATTGTTAGTTGCAGCCCTATTTTGAATATCCTTAAAATATCTCTGTAGTTATATGACATAACACAAAGAGATGACATAAATTACATATGATATATAAGCAACAACACGAGCAGACAACAGCAAGAGGACAAACAAAATAGGTTATCAGTTAGATTTTATATAGTTGATGTTTCTATGAATGTGGGAAAGTGTGTGATATAAGAGTGGTCAGGAACAAAAAAAAGACAATATATATATATATATATATATACATATATGAAAAAAAAAACATATATCTTGTAATTCTTGAAGTAACCTAAAGTCTAAAGGCCCACCCTCCCACTAGGAAAGTTAAGAAGTCAGTTACTATGAAAGGTGACTGCAGATCAGGAGATCAAGCTCCTGGAAGTGGGTCTGTCCTTGTTACATCCCTGAGCCCACTATCTGTGTCAGCATCAGGACGCTTGCATAACTCCTCTTAAACTGTGCGTCTGATCAGCTTCCATGTAAATCCAAGTTTTTAGAACAAGGGTTGGTCGGCAGGATTTCTGGGATAGAGGCATTATCCAAACGATGCTATTTACTGTCTGCTTGCTTGAGGGGATGCAGGAACTCGAACCACTGAGGTCGTCACTGCTATCACAGAGTTGTAGGATTTAACCGCGCATGTTTGTCGCTGTGCTGTGTCAAGGTGAGCAGATGTTGGTAGTGGAGGCTGAGGAGAGAGCTGGAGAGAGGAGAGAGGCCATTTGGCTGCTACAGGATTAGGACTTTGCGTAGAAAGTAGCAGGTAAGATACTGTTGATAAGCTGCACACCCATACATTCCAAAGGTGGCGCAGGTTAACCTCACAGTAGGGCAGGAGGAGCGATATTTAGGTAAAGAGGATAGAGTTGTTTGGGAAAGAGATGCAGTAAGTGGATATAGATAACACTGGGGGGTGGAGTGTGGAAAGGAGGGAAGAAGAAGAAGAAGAAGAAGAAGAAGAAGAAGAAGAAGAAGAAGAAGAAGAAGAAGAAGAAGAAGAAGAAGAAGAAGAAGAAGAAGAAGGAGGAGGTGATAGACGATGGACATGCCAACTGGGTCAAGGCTTTACGTGTTTATACACAGGCTCTTCACCTCACTTCTCCCCACCCGGCCATTAAAGTCCTCAACAACAACTTTACTGAGCCCTAAACCACTAAACAGTTCACTGAATCATTACAGTCCCCTTCCACTCAAAAATGTGCTTTGCTTTTTGTTACTTCACTTCGCTGACGTGTGTGCAGACACCAGAAGGCTGTTTCCACTTTCATCTGCTGAAGGGAGAAAAGTTTCCATCTCATCTTAAATCTGAATTTAAGGGGCGTACGTATGATTTTGTGACATCATAATTATTTTGAAAGCCATTATGTAACAGACATGAGTGATGTGGAAACTTGAAATCTCCAGTGCACGTACACAGAGAACTGACTTTTCAGTGAAGTAGGAGACATCTTGTGTCCAGCAGATAAACTTTTTATATCAAATAAATGACATATTTCAAGGTTATTTGGACAACAACGAAACACACTTCTTGCCCAACCTGCTTCTATTCATGGGTCATTCTGTTTATGCATAAACCCTATCATAAAAATGGTTATTTAAAGCATTTTATGTGTCTTATATTTCTTAAAACATAAACTTTTAATGTAAGATTTTATAGTAAAGTGGTGGTACTGTCTCATTTCCTATATTGGAAACAGTAGCAGATGGTCCCATAGAAAAGCTGAGGGAAACGGATGTGCAGCGCACTTTAATGGAGCTGGAGAAGTTAACCAGATGTATATTTTCCAAAACAACCAGTTAGTCCTCATCTTTTCTGTATTTTCTCTTGTAAAACCGAAGAATATTGTTTGAAAACACTTCCAATGAAGCACGATTTTAACTTTGTGTTCATTTCAAGTGTGGAACTGGCTCATCGTTGCCCCTTGTGACTATTGGGATAAAAAAATAAATAAAAGAAACACTCACAAAAACTGAAATTCTCCCCAACGATCAAGCACCAGTCAGTGTTTTTCACCATCTGCTAGTGGCTCACTGTGGCTTGGTGCACCACAATGAAACAAAAGAGATGCCACAAGAAAACTTACTAGGAGAAGCAGAACAAAGGTGAGATTTATGCTTTGCTGGAAGTGTTCTCAAGCAGTATTTTTCAGTTTTGCAAGAGAAAAGACTTTGAGGTTGAAGACTAACTGGTTGGTTTGGCAAATGTACCTCTGGTTAACTGCCACACCTCGGATAAAGAGCTTCCTTGGTCTTTTCTATGGCATTATATGGGACTGTTTCCTGTGGATGATATAATCCCAAACAAAGCAAAGTCATGATGTAGGTGTTCTACTGAAACTTAACGTGGTGGAGTAAAACTATTCTTTAACTATCTGTTTGCAATATTTCCCGATCTGTGTGCATGCATCTGTGGCTCTGACCTCCAGCATGGTGATCAGCACCACCAGGGCTCCAATGGTGTTCATCATGCCTCCATAGTAGGACAGCAGGGCGTCACTGCAGCCGCGCTTCCACACGTTGAGCTCCTCGGTGTAGTGGTCATAGCTGTAATGGGCAGAGTTGTTGGTCATCTGGAACTGGATGCAGGGTCTTGGGGAGCTGGGGTTACAGCAGCTGAACGGGACTCCATCCATCAGGTACTGGCCATCCACGTTGCTCCCAATGCGGCTAAGAAGAATCAGGCAAAGTGTCAAGTTCGAGTCATGTTATGATGGGTTGGAGGTGACAGTGCGGTGAGATTAGAGGTTTTAGAGGAGCATGAAGTATAAATAGCAAGTCCAGGTTAGGTTACCAGAAATAACCAAATAAAATGTGTGATTTTGCAGAATGCTGCACATCTTATCTTCTCAGTTATTGGATAAAACCCTTTGAAGCCATAGTAAGTGGTGTTGTACTTAACTATATCATACAATCCAATAAAACACTACATATTCCTACTACAACAATAAACAACCTTGGATAGACACCTGGTCAAGTTTAGCAAAAATCGAACAGTACAGAGTCACAATGACAGTATTACTGTAGAACCGATGAAGTGGTTGATATTGTGTTTGCCACGCGTGGAGCCTGAACAACACTGTCACTTAAGCACAATCAAGCATCAACAGTTTGCAGAATATTTCAGCAAAGCATCAGTCATTATGCTTATGGGTAAAGTCTCTATTACGAAGGCTTATGCGTATCACACAGCATGACAAATGTAAAATCACATTTTACTTAAAGGGTTTGATCTTTTTTCCAAACATTTCAATGTAAATATGTGTTTCAGGCTGATAATGGTACCCAAATTAGCATATTTGAGTCTGTGCTCAATCTGAAGAGCAGATCTCAGCCGTGATTGATAGTTGTAGGTCAGTGGAAAGACAAGTGTGATTGGATCACAAAGACGTGAGAGGGGCAGATATGGATCAGTGATTTCTAGAAACATCAACACCTAATTAACCTCCAAAAAATGTCCCAGATAACACTTTGGCTGGTCAATACAGAATATACAGAAAATACTACTTTCTACAGGAAAGATCTGAATACTAATCAGTGTATTATCCATTGGAAGGACAGCAGTAGTGATATTTCAGTAAGGATATTTCAATTAGGATTTGAAAAGGTTGGGTTAAAAAGAAAGCCCCAAGGGCTTGTTACTCTTTGAAACTTCAAAATGAGCCATTATCAGAGGCCTGTAATGGCATCGCAAGAGTTTTCACCAATCACCTCCCCAACCACTGTTTATGCCGATTTTAAAATCCTAGATACAGATTGTTTTCTTGGACGGTGCTATCTCTGGAGTGTTGCCAGGTCCTCTGCTGATTGGACAGGACACTGATTCCTGAAGGGCATGGAGCTGTAATCCTGGAGATTAAACACTAATTATGTGCCAACTCTCAAAACCATCCTCCTCACAATTACCCTAACAAAGCAAAGAGGTACTTGTGGCCCAAAAATCAATATAGACATAAAAAGGTTGTCACAAAGAGGTGACAGATCACTGAAATGGAACAATGTACTTTTAATCCAACTCTTGCCTTTTTGACCTATATATCTTTTTCTGTAACTAATCACCCCAAGCCCCTCCTCTTGACTTTATCCATAAAACTGCCTAGTAACCTCTTTCACCCTCCCAGCCCCCGATGCCCCGTCCCCATTGCTACCTGATGCTGTCACCATTTCTGTGGTGGTAATCCTTAGAAGACGAAAGTGAATAATACACCTGCTCTGACCAACCTTCACCTCAAATCCACTTATACTGAAATCTAACTTTGTATGGAAGCACCCCACCTCAACAGCCTCCACCTTGATACCCAGGGTCAATGACAATTTCTTTAGACCAAAAGTAGTAATTTCTCTGTCACGTCTTTTCTAACTTTCACAGATTATCATGAAGGATTTAGATTTTTATCTTTGTCACTTACTCTTTGACTTCCTTTGCGCTGAAGTCAAGGTAGCGGTTGCTAACCCACTGAATCTCAAACCAGTCTCTGTAGTTGTCGTTCCCGCAGCAACGAAACTCCATCTGCATCAGGTCCAGGGTCCTCTTCATGTAGCAGCGTCCCGGTGTGTCCGTGTCCTTGTAGTACCTCATGCCGTTCCTCAGTCCCTCAGCCAGGGTGAACTGCAGAGGGATCCTCATCACAAAACACATCAGGGCAGTGAGGAGCAGCAGGGCGTTGAACCCCACACAGAACCCCAAGAAGATCTTCAACATGGGCTTCCACTTTGCAAACTTGGTAGGGTCCAGTGAGTCGTAGCAGACTTTGCCTCCAAAGGCGTTGATGCCACAAGCTATTAGACCCATGAATATAAGCAGGTTGGGCAAGAGGTGGCTCTCGTTGTTGTCCATAAGTTCTGAGCGCTTTCGCAGCTCGATCTTAAAGAACAGCCCCATGCTGAACACCAGCACGCCGGCCATTACAGCGAACCAGTACATGAACCAGACCGTCTGAGCGAGCTTCACTCGCTTTTTCAGATCAAACTTGACCAGCATCAAAGCCATTGTTCAATCCGAGATGTGTCCTTGTCTGTAAAGAAGGAAGAGAGTCAAATGATGATCTGGATCAGCAGGACCTCCAAGATTTCCAGAGTTTGCCCCTTAGTTTAGAAAAAATGCTCTCTAAGGTGTCGGCCTGCAGTCCTAGTTTCCCTGTCTCTGTGTTATCAGGGTCTCCTCTGGCTGGTCCAACAGGGCAGAAGAATCAGCTCAGGCGGTAATCCATCCCACAGCAAAGAAGTAGAGATGAAGAACCCAGGAGGACCCCGGAGGAACACAGGAGTGTTATTTCTTCAAAGCTATCTCCTCTCCCATTGTGACAGAAACTTCAAATTACATAAAACTTTATTTTCCACAACTTTTACCAGTTTTCCTTCCTTAACACACAGGTGAGGCTAATCGTGATGTTCCGTTCTCTCTGAGAGGTGGAGGATTGCCGAGGATCCTCATGATTAAACTCAAAGTTGCAGTACGTCATGCTAAGCCCCTGTAAGCAGCCTGATCCAATTTACAGAAATCCCTCTACACAAGATGAGCCCGATCGTAAGCCGCTGCCAGGGGCCATAATTGGTTTGAAGTTTCACGTGGTCACAGTCGCCTTGATCGAACACACCAGGAGCTGTAATGGCATCAGGTGAGGGCTGCAAAGACCATGGACGTGGAAGTGGAGCTAATAATGGCGCGTACTCACTCACAGGTAGAGGTCCTCAAGTTCAGCACAAACCGGATGTCTTCACAGTGGAGCAAATTGACTCAGTTGAGAAAGCCCCAGTAACCCATTCACAGAAATCTGTCATCCCCTCTAGTATGACTCTTTATGTGAATAATAAAATTATAACCACACAAAAAAGCTTAAAACTGGATGATTAAAACATGTGGTCACACATTAATAAATATGGACAAAGGATAGTTGTAGAAAACGTCATCTTGCAAGCTAATTAATTTAAGTGAATTACGCTCTCTCTCTCTTTAATTAACTTATTATCACTTTCTATCCTGGCAGTTATAATCAACAGTGTCTGCACAAACATGAGCCAGATACTTGTGCTGACCAAAGCTAGGCCTGTGCCTGAACGGCTTCCATTCTGACTCCTTCAAACTCCACTGTGACTGGACATGAGAGGTGCAGTGTCGCTTACTGCAACAGTTGTACCATTGTGTTTCCTTCCAAATGCAATTAAAATACTGACTGCTGAGCCTCCTTATGCCTCTTTCACTGTATCTTACAGCCAACCCCTCACTGTTCTGTATTTCTAATGATTCTTTGTAACTCTTTAAAATTATTAAATTAGTTTTTTTTGTTGATGCCTGTCTTCAATTGCTTCTTTTGTGTTGTTTCAGTTGTGTGGTACAGCCAAATTTCTTCAGTGTGGACCACAAAGTTCCTGTCCAACAAACTATCCACATTCTTTTCTTCCTTTCTTTTCCTTAACACCACATAGACATAATAAACAAATCCAACTTACAGTCTCTATCTATAACCACATGGTAGCAGTATTACTGCGTTATCTAAAAAGTGGCAATTTTTAATGAAAAGGCTTGAAAAACACAGAAATATTTTAGTACAGTTTTAATAAATGGTTACGAACACACTACATTATACATATATCTCTGGAATAAAGTAATATCAACTTGGCTCTACCAGAAAGCCTGTAATTTCACACTAGTTAACTATTCCAATATGGCTGATTTGAATTTTTTGAATATCACAGAATAATAAAAATGAAATCTAATGTTGGAGAGCAGCTTTCTCTGTGTGAACTAGTGTAATCATGAGCAGAAGAATAAAAGCTTGGAGTTTAATTTCGGCAAGAGTGTGGATGCTCTGCCTCAGGGGAGATGTGATGCTCCTAAGTACTAAAGCCCCACAGTTATTCAGGCTGATAAGACAGGAGGATTTTTATTTAAATGTATTAATGTAGCTTAAACCTTATCATACAAAGTGCCCTTTTTTTGTAGCCGTATGGACAAGTAGCAGCATATGACAACCAGTGCAGAGTATTCTCAATTAAACTTGTGTTTAGACACATGCTTCAGACACGGTTAAGGATCAAAAATGTCATTTTTGTAGCGCTGAGATAGAGAATATGATGCATTTATTTACGCTTTGTTCTCTGCCTTTTTGAGTGTGTGTATTTGTGTGTGTGGGCTACGTATGTTACATTTTGTCTCTGTTATTAGTTTTATTAAATACAAAAAAAGAACAGCCACTTCAAAGAAAATTCATTAAACCAACTTAAATTCAAGATTATGGACAAGACTACGTATGTGTATTCAGGCTGTCAACATGTCATTTGGTTTGACAGGTGTTAATTTGACAAATAAAGGCTTTAAAAGTTAAGGATCCCAGTTGGTTTTCCTGTCTGGTTCTGGGATGACAGTCCAGTTGGGGGAAGGTGTTCCTGCAGCGAGCCAGTTGAAATCATCCACCTGAGTCCAGTTGTTCCGGTCCTTGTCTAAGCCAGACACACTAAAGTCCTCTTCCAGAGTGGGATAAGACCAGGAAAACGGGGCGAAACTCACTCCATGACAGTCCTCTATGATGGCTCGGCTGGTGACATGCAGATACACCTGTGTGTCTTTGGTGTTGTGGGTCCGCAGCTGCTGACAGGGGAAGCTCAGCGTACTGTTTCTGCAATGATCAACAAATACAGAACTAGACACCGGCCCACACAGGATCTCACAGCTGTCGATGTGCTTCAGGTGCAATGTGCTGGGGGAACCGACCAGACGGACCTTGCAGTTGGACAGGTGAGTCAAGAGCACGTCTCTTTTCTGGATCTCCTCAGATGTTTTGGTCAGAAACTCATTGTCCATGTTGGAGAAGCCACACTGCTCTGACGCTGCAGCTCCATCCACTTCACCAGATGCAGGTGCAGATGTGGCAACATCAGCTTGAGCTGTGTCTGACACTGGTGCAGAGACTTTATCTGCAGCTTTAGTGCGAGCTCGAAAGGCAAACTTCTTCTTGGGCAGAGCCGTCTCTCTGGTCTCCGCAAGGGATGCCTGGAGTTTCTGGAGAGCTGCCTGGGATTGTCTCAGCTCGTACTGCGTCAGAAACAACACACTGTCATTCAGAAACTTTTGGAGCTGCACGGTTTTGACCGTCGCCTCCTCCAGCCTCTGAGTCACCACGGCTCGGTCAGCTCCGGAGCAGCTGGACAGCAGCTCCTCGATACACACCCGCTCCCTGCTGAAAGTCTTGGAGAAAAACTCGTCCTTCTCCTCGGCGACAGACTGGCTCTCTTTCTCTTCTTTACGCCGCTCGGCATCCTCTATTCTGGCCTGATTCCGTTTCTCAAGTCGCTCTTTTATCTTGGCGGCACCGCTTTCACCAGCAAACCCATCCTCCTGACTAATTTCAGCTGTAACATCCATGTTGTTGCACTAACGGTTGTTGCGGAAGCGATGACGGCTCTTTTCCTTCTTCTTTAATTATTGAGGACCAATGTTGTTGCGCAGCGCCACCTACTGTACCGGAGGCTGTGTGGCAAGAAATCATTTGGACAATGACTGTAAATTAATAACAGAAAAATTATAAATAAATAAATAAATTCATTCATTAACTCTAAAAATGTTAAGTAGAAAGAATGTGTGAAGAATATTTCCATTTCAAGCTACTTTGCACTTCTACCCCATCTTTATCTGATAGCAATAATTACTTTATAACTGAAGACTTTTACATACAAAACATACGAGGAGCTATTAAAATATGATACGTTGTGAAAGATTCAACTACCTGACAATATATAAAATCATAACTGAAAATATCTGTTTTATTTGGACTATTTATATTTGACTACTTTAATGAGTGATTAATCATTTTATGTCATTTTCCATACAAAAATGCCAAATATTTAATCATCCCAGCTCATCAAAAGTGAGGATTTGCGGCTTTTCCTTGTCTTGCGTTACACTAAGCTGAAACTTAGCTGCATTAGAAAGCATGAGTAATAATAAACTATATGTATCAGTCACAAGTTTTTCTGCAATGAGTTCTTACTTTAAGTACATTTTTTACCTGATTATACTTAAATACTTTCCCTCATGTAACACTGTCAATGCAGGACCTTTACTTAATGGAGTATTTTTACATTGAGCTATTAGTACTTCTGGATACTTCCTCCACTGCATGGCTTTAATAAATTGATTATGAATGACATTTCTACTGCCACAGTCTCTCTCAAACCATCAACATGCCCATTTGTAGGTAGTACAAAATAGATATTGTATTTTTTTATTTTATTTTATTTACAAAATCTGACAAAAAATTCAATGTGTTGAAATTTTAAAAACAGTAAAGAAATGAACACACACAGACACAGACACAGACACACACACACACACACACACACACACACACACACACACACACACACACACACCTTTCAAACAACAGCAAAACTGAATACTCTATCATCTTAAACTTTTGAGAACGAGTGGATCAGTAGTAACTAGGTATCACTTTCATTTACAGTAACTATGGTCATACCTGAGCAACGTCAAGGTGTGGCACACACATCAGAGGTCCGCCCTCTACTGTTGGTAATAATTAAGTCTAAAAACATTTATCTGCTATTTACGGTGGCAATGGAACTATTATCATATTGATATTAATATAAAAAAAATTGTGTTTATTAATTACTTGTCGTTGTTTGTATAATTCTTATTCAAATTTACAGTGGTATGATACCGGTGTGGACTGGTGATGTGGGTTGCCTTGCTCTGTGCACTACCCCAACAACCCGTGCGGTGATGGCGAGGAAACCCCGTTGACAAGGCACTGCTTTTTCATGACGGTGAGTTTCCCTTTGAGTGTATTATAATTTTGTGATAAAAATTTCAAGGAAAAAACACACACAACCTCCTTCCTCCCTTCCTTCAGGGAGGGTAGAGAGTTTGAGCGGAGAGAAAAATCTATCCGAGACAGAACAGGGACAGTGAGAAAAATATATGAGTGGGAGAGGGAGAAGGAGGAGGAGGAGAAGGAGGGGGGAGCAAATTAAAAGTTGCCAAATGGAGATATTGGGTTTCAAGCGGAGTGAGACAGGAGTAAAGGGTTTGCCTCTTTCAGTCGTCTTTATGTTATGCTAAGCGGGATAAATTTTTAAGGCTCGACACTGTTTAGTCCTTTAGCATTTTCGACGGATTCTAGCCGACGTTTTCAAAATAGGCGTCGTCGACATCGCGGCTAGCTAACCAGAACAGGCCGATGTTTATCGTTAAAATGTTACGGAGCGCCCTGCGTGGAGAGCTTCCCGACCAGAATACGGGCTGCTACAAAATCCTCCGATTAAAACGCGTCGGTTCGGCATATCGAGACAAATGTGACGTTTTTCATGCTGGCAGATGAGCCACATAGAGGACAAATGAAAGCCTCCCCAGCAGAGAAAGAAAGAGCACGTCAGCGACGACCAGCCACAGGCTGGACGACGGGCGTTTTGTGCTGCTTGAATGCGATTATCATTCTGTCGATTCAGTCTATTTTTGGAAATAAAACTTGCAAGCTGTACATTAGCTGACTTTCTAAACCGACGGCGATACCACAGCCACAGTGTCAGGACTACACGGGCTAGCTTGGTTGGCGTCGAAGCATGCATGCTAGGGCGGATTTCGAAGACAACGGATTTTGAGCTCTAAATTTTACAAAATGTTCATACTGTTGGAAAACATGGCTTTATTTTGACAACCTGATTAAAGTTTGAGATGAGGGCTGCAAATCCAGTGTTTTGAATTGCCACAAAAGGCTCGTTTTTGTCAGTATGTGCACTTAAGCTCTGCCCTGGTCGTTTTTTTCTTATCGCTGCTAACGTTAGAATTCAGAACATGAAACGTTCAATTATCGACTTTAATGTTTACATGTAGGAATTAACGGTTGAGTTTTTGGCGGTTTAATGACTCTTGGATTATAGAGAAAAAGTGGTGTTATTTTGTTTTTATTTTTTAATTTTTTATATCTAAACAACCTACATTTGGAGCGTTTTGTGAAATAAAATGTTTCTATGGTAAACGTTTGGTTCCCCATTGTTTTAGTTTGGACATGGCTTCCTTTCACATTTGTTTTTAGCATTGTGTCCGTTTTTTGAAGGACGAAGAAGCGTTTCCAGTCTGACGAGAAGATTTAGTTGTAGTCTATTTGGTATGGATACTTTTAAATAACGTTTCTCTGTAATATAATTAGCTTTTAGCAGGTTTCTTTGTATATATAAGTCACAACGCAGTCGGTTCAAACTGCTTATTTAGTTCTGCAGCCCTGTCGTTCTTTGTTCTCACCGAGTCAAAGATGGAGGCTGAACGTGGCTCAGCTGTAAAGACAGCCTATGGCATGGTAACAGCCATTTTGTAGCATTGCAGTTGTAACGTTTTCCACAGACTCATGAACACAAAGCCTACATTTCCCCTTGACTTTGACGAAGTACAACACAACCATGTAATTTAAACACCATTTCATTCAAATACTGGGTTAGTCACAAAAGGAGTTTAGAGTTTTCTGGCACACATTCTCTCATACATTGCTTAAATACAGTTTATCAAAATTAAAACAGACAAATGAACTTGTTAGATGTCCAAACACTCACAGGCCATTATTCTGCTGGATCATATTCATGCTCACTGTCTCAAATTGTTTCCCTGTTAATAGTAGCACCAAGATAGCTGCATACTTTTGCTGGCTGACACATAATAAAGCCAACACCTCTTTCAATGTAGGAACTCAAAACAACCATTCAAGGTATAAATGGAGCAGGGTGGAGTTTTACACTCAAATGGCCATTTTCACTCGGTGCAGGCACGAAAGACAACCAATGTGGGACAGCAGAGGAGTGTAATGGGTGGGAGTTTGTGTGTCAGAGACAAGTATCTGTAGGAGGGGATGAAGGCCATCCTGCCCTTACTTATACACTGATCTCCCGTAGCACTGAATAACATATTTGTCCACCTCTTACTCTGCACTCCCGTTTCACACACCCATCTGTCTTTCTGTCTCACCTGCCTCACTCTACAATACTCCCACACCTTGTATATTGCACCTATAATTTTATAATCTTACTAAATGCAGTCTCTCACCCTGCAGCCCAGCCTGTTACAGGAAACAAAGGGTGTTAAATGACTGAATCCATGCTTCCTGCTGGAAATCTGTGAGTGAGATATCCTTACTGCCAACATAATACATTTACATTTACTCCATTGATCAATGAAGCTATTAGCCCTTGGTCCTTGTAGATTTAAACATGATTTATTTCATCTGTAGTTCATATGAGACTTCTACCATCTCCTCACTTGCCTTATTCTGTACCCGTGTCCCTCCATAATCTTTCAGGTGTCATGGATGATGAGGACGATCGCCGTCTTCTGGATATTTTAGGGTAAAAATCCCTTAATAAAACTGCCATTTAAATTATTGGCATATATTATTTGAAGAAAGTATGAATGGATGCATAGATATTTGTTGTCATCAGGTAGTGATGGCAGTGTGGTTACACATTTTTATATTTGAGCTTACATTTCATTTGAATCATCAACCAATATATCAAGGTTCCTCTTTGAAATCAAAGCCACAACTACCAACAAGTTTACCTCACCCTTTTGTTGACTTAGGGAAGTTAATAAACAAATACTACAAGAGATTTATTGTTAAACATTATTTGTCACTGTAATCTGACTGAGTAAAGCAATTTTTTATACCACACACTAGTGAAGATAAATTTATGTTATATTAGAGGTGCTTTAGGTTTGTTCCTCGACCATTAAAAGTCTCTTCCCCACCCCTTTCAGAGATGTGGATGCGTTGAATGACTATCTCCATGGCAGCAACAGCAAGTCTGTAAGTCACTCTTACTGCATTCAAAGTTTTTCTGAATAGATGCTTCATTTTAATGCATAGAAAGAGTCCACCCAATCTCCGTTTAACTCGATCTATTCTGTTTTTGCAGATTGAGGAGGATGATGTGACAAACGCAGCTTATGGGTCGGATGGATCCTTCTTTGCCAGTGACACGGTAAGTACACCTGTGATTACCTTGATCCAACCAAAACATAAGCAGATTTTAGTGTATGATTACAGATTTAGTTACAGATGATGGATTAGGGTCTTAGTGCAGAGCATTTTCTCAGGCTTTTAGTTGGATTTGAGTACTAATGTCATTGTTATGAATTATTTAGTGTGGAGGTGATCTATTTAACAGTTTGAAAAGCCAAAGAAAGTTGTTTAAGTTTTCAAACGTCTGGTTTTGTCCAGTCTGTGTTGCAAAATCCAAAGATATTAAATTTGCTATCAAAGAAGACTGAGAAAAGCAGCGAGTATCCATAGTTTAGAAGCTGGAATTAGTCAATTTTTTGAATTTTTGCTTAAAAAACAATTTTAAGGAGTAATCATTTATCAAATAGTTGCTGATAAATTTGTTGTCAAACGACTAATCGTTTCAGCTCTAGCTGTTGCTGAACAAATATCTAACGATATGGACCCACTTGTTCCTAATCAAGGGAAATACACTACTAGATGTTAATTTGGTAGGAAACAAAAATGATTAAAAAAAAGGTTCAAGGTATAGTTTCCGTTTTCGTAAAGGCCCTTAAAAGCGTCACGTAAGACACTGGCATTTAGAGAAAGCAGTCTTTCACATGCAAACACTTTCTCACTTTCCTCTGATTTTTTCTAAATGCCTCTTTTAGGCTGGCTCCAACTCTGGCCTCAAGGATGGCTCTTCTTCAATGGGTGAATTCGGCGATGATTCAGCCGGGGCAGGCCTCCAGCTCTCCAGCAGCCTTTCATTTATCGAGGATGAATTGGGGACTGGGAACTCCCCTGGAGGGGTGGACCTCGGCGGGGAGGACCAGCCCTTTGACATCCTACAGAAGTCTCTCCTGGAGGCCGACATCACGGAGCAGACGCTGGCCCAGGAGGCCTTATTGGACTCCCAGCCCGCTCCCACACTAGTACAGGCTCCCGTTCCCTTCCCTTCCCAGCTGGTCTCTGGGGGTTATGGAGGGGGAGTGGGTGTGGTCACCACAGCGACAGCTGCGTTCCCCACAGGCCAGTTCCTGCAAGGAGTGTCCCAGCTGCCCAATGGCTCTGCCCAGCACATCCAGGTGTTGGGCTCCTTTGGGGCAGGTGGGGGCGTGATGACTCTGAGCAGCTTGGAGAGAACTCCTCAGATTGTGTTGAGGCCAGGGGCCCCTGTAGCTGCGCCAGGGCCCACAACTGGGGGGCAGGTGTTTGCTCCTACTCAAGGGCAGGTAGGCCAAGTTGGCTTACCTTTCAAAAACATCCCTCTTCAAAATATCATTATCCAGAGAGGCCCGGGAGGGACCCAGACTCTTGTCAGACCTATCCAACCTAAACCCCTTCAAGCTGGGGCTCAGACTGTCTATAGTGTTGGTCTTCAGCCCACTCCCACCACCATGGCTAATGTAGTAAACGCTAACACTGCTACTCCTGGGGGGCAATATACAGCCAATGGCTCCATTGTAGTGCAGCCGCCCCTGGAGCAGCAACAAGCGCAGGCCCAGACAAACATACCACCGGGACAGTTCTTGCTCCCCACCTCTTTGGCGCTCACTCCAGGCAGCACCATCCACAACGGCCCCGCTGACCCCAACTCAAACGCCCTAATCACCAGTCAGAACGCGGTGCAGATTGTTGCCGGGCAGAACTTTCCCGCACCCCAGAGGGGTCAGCTAATTTTGAATCAGGGAGTAGTCAGTGGGAGTCAGGTTGGCGGGGGTGTAACTCAAACATGGACAGGAGTTTCTTGTGCGAGCTCTGCCCCTGTGCAGACATCTTGCGCCCCTGGGCGGCTGACCCTGGTCGGCCCAGCGACGGCGGGGATCGGCGGTCAAGCCCAAGTGTCAGCTAGCCCTGTGCAGCGCCTTCTAGTGACTCAAACTCAGAACTGCACGTCCCTGTCCCCTTTACCTGGTACAGTAACACAGGAACAAGAATACAGACAGGTATTATCACTAGCTACTCGGTATTTCATTCATTCCATGTATCTCTTACCTGAAAACTGCTGTCTGACTGACTTTCATTTTTATTTTTCAGAATTCTTCACCTGCTCTCAAACAGACACAGCTCAGCAACATCCATGGTAACAAGACAGATTTTTTCAGTGTGTTATGTGTTTAAGTGTAGTCTGCTGCATTTCGACTTAACGTGGTTGCTTTGTTGTTTGTTTGATCTCTCTCAGCCATGAAAACAGTGACACAAGATTCAACGCTAAACTCTCAGGTACATGAATGACTTGTTTAACACTTATGTCTGTGAACATTTTACATTGGAATAAGTGTTTAGGGACAATATGAGAGGTGTTATGACAGCCTTGGTATGTGCGCTTTGTCTAGGTCAGTGCACAGAAGAGGCCTGCCCTTCCGCCAATCACGAGAGAGGGAATGTGAGTTTATTTTTGACATACTGTTCATACATTATTTACATATTTCTTCATATGTCAAGTCTTGACTTGTGTGTATGGTTTGTCATTCAGCCACTGAAGCAGTTTGCCTGTTTTTTTCCTGTCATCTCGATAGGATTTTACAACAGTTGGCGAGGGATCATGCTGGAGTTCAGACCCCGGATCGACGTCAATTCGCTTCAATCAACGATGCGCTGCAAAGACTCCTCCCTTACCACGTGTTCCAGGGGACTCCCCCCAGCCAGGATGAGTTCTCACAGGGTACAGCCTCCAATCTATTAGCTTGATGCCAAATCTGCAAGGAAGGCAGAGAGCTAACTTAGAAGATTTGTGTGGTTTTGTTTACAGTGGATGAAGAATTTGAGGCGGTTGCGACTCAGGTGCTGAAGAGAAGCCAGGCCATGGTGAACAAATACAGACGACTACTTATGGTGGAAGCTGAGGTAGGCACATACATGAGCTAATGGTTGCATACATACATGTGTTCCCTGTTATGACATGCACAAGGCTAACAAGTTTCCACTTCCTCCCCTGCAGCGTTCAAGTCCATCGTCAGAAATGGTGATGATTGACAGGACCTTCAACCAAGAGGAACGCAGCAACCTGACACAAGACAAGCGCATGATACTAGTAGATCCAGGTAAAGAAAAGAAAAAAAAGGAGGAGTAAAGCAGTTTAGAGAAAATAATCTGCTCACAGACAGACTTTTTTTTAAACTCTTCTTCTCTGTTTTATAGACAGCTTCTTGGAGGACTTCTGTTGTGGGATGAAATCCAAACTTTTCCAAGACCCTTCCCCGTCTCAGTCCAGCTGTAGTTGGAATCAGTCGGACAGAGGCTCCACAGAGCCACCGTACAGGACAGACTCCCAGCCCGGGTATGGAGATCCGGGAGGGGGCGGGGCTGTAGGAGCAGGTGCAGAAGACAGACTCCACCCTCCACACTTACAAGAAAACAAGAGCGTCCTGGAACTGAAGAGGTCCCAGCAACGCTACGGGCCCAGCAGCGCCAGCAACAACAGCCTCACTGCTGCCAACAGTTATCCCCCAACAGGTAACCCCCCATCTTTTACAGCAGCGTCCGGAGGACAGACGCACTACCAGGGGTCTCACCACGTGTCCTCCCACCCGATCCAGCCCCAGTACCCCCCTCGGCTCACCTCACCCCCCCACCCTGACACGGACTCTGCTCTAGAGGCGGCAGTCAACAGCATCTTGGAATGTTAAGACTGATGCTTCATATCATGCCTAGTGTATGGTTTTGACTTTTGTGTGTGTGTGTGTGTGTGTGTGTGTGTGTGTGTGTGTGAGAATGTTTTTTTGTTTTTTTTTTAATGGCAAACTCTCCTGTTGTAATATTTGTTTTACACCCCACACCCCACTCAAAACCCTGTGTGAAGAGAGGTTAACTCTTCTTTCAGGTCTATGATCTTTGTGATACCATCTCTGGCCATGTAGCATGTATATTTAATTTGTTTTTATATTTCCTTTTTCTTTTATTTTTGAGACATGTTGTAGGAGTCAAGGTGAACACAGGCACTTATAATAACCTATAAAGATCCGGGAATGTGTGCAATGCAATGTACTAACAGATGGAAAATTATTTTGTTTATTTTAACATTATTTCACAGGGGTAGGGACTTCAGTAGCTTGAATATAAGAGTGTTCCTCTCTTCACACACACATACACACACACACACACACACACACACACACACACACACACACACACACACACACACACACACACAATTAATATTTTGTGCCAGCTGATAACCCCCTGAATACCTATGCTGAAAAAACCCAGGATGAGGGGGAGGGACAAAACGATGACTGTGCCTAATTCTAGGTTTTTATTTTGAAGTGTTTACATGAAGAAGCTCTATTCACTCATTTTCCTTCCTGCATTACAAACACACACAGTAAACACACACATACCTGCTTTTGTACAATGTGTTCTGTAGATTCATGGTTCAGAGGAGGAGATTTCCTTTATGGTCAGCTCAGTAGAGACACATTCACATAGACAAATTGCACTAAACATACTGTTGCTTTTTTTTCAGGAACTATATGACTATGAGGTCGATTACACAGTGTGCGCTAGGCTAGCAGAATGTGAACATTCGGAACAGAACCAAAATTGATTTGCCTGTTTTCAGCTGCCTGCAACAAGGATAACCTTTTAATTCACACTAGGAACCATTCAGACTAGACACATAGACGTATATAGTAATGTTACTGTACTCAGCAGTGCTTGTTTTTCTCGTGCTTAAGTCACACATTTCTTTGGCATTTTTTTCTTTTGTACCTTAAAGGTATGCAAGCCCCGACACAGACACAAAGACAAATCTCGATCTTCAACCACTTTTTATCATTTCAGCGTGTTTGTGTCTGGGGAGCTAAATCCTCAGATTGAGGAAGATAATTATGTTACAATAGTTTTATCTTTTTTTATTTAGATTTTTATTTCCTCATGTTTTTTTTTTATTTTTATTTTTAGAAATGACATGAAAAAAGACGACTGTTTTGTTCATTGTGACGTGTTGTTCCCCGGCCTTGTGTGAACATGACGATGCCGTCATTAGTTGAAATGACCTTGGTGGGTCATTGATTGTACGTACGTTTGTCTGCCTTCTGCATATAATTATATATTGATCATATCTGTCTATCTATGCTTTACTACCTTGACATTTCTATCAGGGTGTGTGTGTGTTAATCTGCACACGCACACACTGGTCTACGACTATGTTTTCTATGTAGTTTTGTGGTTTGATTGCCATACTCTTGACTTGATTCTCAAGTGTTCGCTCATAACCCCCAGATGTTTTCCCCACTTTCTAGTCCTTTTTTTTTTTTTTTTAAGCATTTCTCACACATCCTCTGTTTTCCCTCTCAGCAGCGCAACCAAAATTAATAGGAGAGTGAAGTGATGTCCAGAATCACCCTCAGGTCTTTATTTCTTTGTGCTGGTGACAACAGCTCTGTGGCTGTTAAAGTAAAAAAAAAAGAAAAAGATGGAGTGTTTGTTCTGAAGCCGTGCTCCCAACATGACTTTGGTGCTGGATTTGTCTCGAGAATGTTTCAGTTTTCTTTTAGTGTTTAGAGCCAAAACTTAACTGACTCTGATATTTCATTATGATAAATAATTAATCTTAAATATTGGCCATGTGTTTGTTTTTTGATTAACTTTTTTTTTTTTTTTTTGCGTAAAAGTCTACAGAAATCTGTACTGTAGTGTAAGAAAGAACGGGCAATTTCAGCCAAACCCAACACAGGACCAAAGCTTAGGTTAAATGTGTGAAATCCTCCCGGGGTTGATTCTGGATAGTGCCACCTTTCTCTTATAAACGTGTCTGTGAAATATGCTTGCCTGTAGGCTACAGAAGCAAACTGAAGGCCTTTTATATGGGGTGATAGAGAACACATCCGTCTTCTTCTTCTTCTTCTTCTTGTTTTTGTGTTTGAGTGCCAGTGGCCATCGCAGCAGTTGCTGCAAGATTTTGTGCCTCTTTAGCACTTGCATCCACAAGGAAGTTTCGTTTTAGACTTGCACAAAGTAGGGACATGTCCAGTGTTGGTAAAACATTGTTATCTGGATGCATATCAGTGTCTGAGGGCCTGGTAGGAACATACTGTGCTTTTTCTCCCCTACTTTCAGTGCAGATTTGTTGTTTCTGCCTCCATTTCTGCCTCACTGTTGTTGTTTTTTTTTTTTGTCTCACTTGATTTGTATAGTTTGCTGTTTTGTACAAAATTGAAAAGTGAAACACAAAATATTTATAATTTTGTATGGAGAAAAAAAAAACGAATGTTAAAAAAAAAAAACACACGAGAAAATGGAAATTATTTTTTATTGTGTTGGCCAAGAAGCGGCGTCAGGAAAAATCGTTACAAAAATACTGTCATTTCTTCATTTGTAGCTAATGTGTGTTCACTACAGCAGCAAGGAGAGTCAACAATAAATTCATACAATACAAAGAATACAATAACAAACTGGTCCAGTCCGGCTGAGAACCTCCTTCAGTGTCCCTCCATTACCATTCTGTGAGTGTTCACACACAGACACACAGCCTGAGCATGCATAATAACATCATGTGACAGGGGGAAAACATTTCCAAGGAAAAACAGATTTGCGCTCCCTCTGCTCCACAGATAGGATCTTTTCATGGATACTGATGTCGGGATGTTTCGCATGTTTTTCATGTTTCTCTACATCTGCGCTCCCAGAGAAAGATTTTATCTGGTTAAAAACTGTTGGTTCCCTTTAATCCTCTCATGGAAGCCAGCACCGATGCCTCTGCACAAAGGAGCTAAGAAAACTCTGCATAGCAAACATTGTACTGCCCAGCCCTTTTGGTTTTTGTTAACACAACCCAACAATGACACCTAGTGGAGCTCCTGGGACTCACACTTAAACACATGGACACATATCTCATCAGGAACTGAAACTATTTTGATAAATTAATTAAAAAGTAATTTTAGTAGCTTTCTTGTTCACATTTCCCTTCCTAAACTAAACTAAAACACATAGCACATAGCAAGCTAAATAAAATAAATAAATAAATAAATGTGAAATGAAACTCAAACATGTCTTAATTTGCATAACCTGCAGTGTCGTGTCATGCCCGCAGGCTTTCAGATGCCCTTTTCGGGTGCAAGTCAAATGAGGATGAAACTACCAGTATCACAATGACAATTCCTCTGGTGGTTGAAGGGATGGTTTGACAGTTTGGGAAATTCGTTTTCTGGCAGACAGTTAGATGATACCACTCCCATGTTTGTCAGTTAAATATAAATCTGCAGCCTGTCAGCTTAGCTTAGCATAAAGACTGGAAACAGGGGGAGCAGCTAACAATCTGCCTACCAGCACCTCTAAAGCTCACGAAGCTTGAAAGCTAACCTCCTGCCACAGCTGTTGTTTCCACATTCAGTCTCACTTGTCCACACATCTTCCCTTGACCTCAGTGGTACTTCCTCCAGCGATCACGCTCTGGGAACAAAACAAAACAAAACAAACAAAAAAAAAAAAACAGCAGCATGCTCAGTCATCTCTTAAATCCAGATCCATTACATGGAGCAATACTGAACGCGATCCACTCACTTACTTATATGAGGGTAACTCCAGATGTAGCTGAGCACACAGTATCCTGCCACCAGCATGCCCAGCCCACCCACACCACCTTTCCGCACGTCAATGTACCTCCTGTAATACCAGTGCCAGCCTGCGGGGAGCACAGAAGAGGAGGAGAGGGAACACATGCATGTAAAGCTTCACACGAAACGTCACTGAGGACACAAGGGGAACAGTTTGACATCTTGGAAATAGGGTTCTTCACTCAACACATCAAGAATCATCACGTAACTGTGTGGTAAATATTTGACAGCAGCTGGTTAGCTTAGCATTAAGACTAGAAACAGTCACAAAGGTAATAAAATTCACCTCCCAGAACGATATGTTAACAATATGTCATATCTCCTTTGTTGTTGGTTGTTTTTATGGTTTTATGGAGAGTTGCTTGGCTGGGAGCACTGACTTGCTTGAATTTCATCAAGTCTCCCTACAAAGAAATAACCCTCCGTAAAACTTCAAAGTTGGTATGGATTAAACACTATTTAACGTGTGAATTTGTGAAGTTTAGAGCTGATGGTAGTTCCCTTGACCCTCTGAGGTCTGAGGCTATTTTCCCGATTGCCACTTTATTTCTTAAGGTACTTGCAAATAAGATAATCACTATAATGAGGCCCCTTTGTGACCCTCTTTACACTGTGCAAAGAGTTCATTTGTCCCAAATGCCGAAAAAATTGAAGCCCAGTTTTTCTAAATTCTTCAGATCTCCTGTGAAAACAAACATTTACTGATGTGGATGAATTGTTTTGGTGCTTGAAATGTGTTTACCAAAGTCTTAGTTTCATAAAAATAGTGCAACATGTGAGTATAATAGTAGATAAATGTATAATAAATGCCTAAAATAAAAAGTGTTGTGTATCAATCTAATTTAACCAAATTTTAGAGGCCTGCTTTGAGGCCTTCTAGGTATACTGTGGCTATGAGTCATGTACAATCCCACAACAATATGAAACAGAAAGTGGAGGGTCTGCAGATTCTAACAACATTAAAACCATGTTTCTACACTTTGTTATCCCAAGGATATTGATAGAAAGATCCGTCGACCTCAGAGGGTTAAAAGCATAGAGGCAAACAGAAATTCCCAAACAAGAGGCCTACAGGTAAATATAGTGTAATACATATATTTATATTCGCGTGAGATTCGCTTGATATTCACCTCTTTGCACCATTTCCACTACGTCTCTTGGATGGCTGGGGGTTTTGCAGGCCAGCCACTCAGGTAACTCCCTCAGTCTCACCTGTCCAAGACTCCGCGGTGACACGGCACCTGCCAGGAATCAGCACACTGACGTATGAGCACACACTCAAAACACATCCTCTTTCATTTCACTAGCTGGGTATCGAGTGAAATTTTTTACAATGCTAGCGCTGATTGCCTTTTGATACTGAAACAAAAACAATGCTCTCCTCTCTTCTCACTTTGAGGGACACAAACATGTTTTTTTCTGCTTTTTCAAAATGTAACTAAAGAGCCCAAAGTTCTCTAAACTGATCAATGTTGTTGAATTTGCCTGAATAAAAATATCTAAAATGACTAAACTATCTTATCAATAAGTAAACAAGATCAGGACTGACACTAATGGTTATTTTCATTATCGATTCATCTGCCAATTATTTTCTAGTTCTATAAAACAACAGAAAACAGTTTAAAAAAATGCACATCGCAATTTTGTAGAGCCCAAGGTAACGGCCCTCAAAGGTTTTGTTTTGTCTGAAGAACAGCCCAAAACCCCAAGATATTTAATTAAGATGAGGAGAATCATCACACCTGAGAAGCTGGAACCATCAAACCTTTGGCATTTTGGCTTGAAAAATAAAAGGTCAACTGTTTATTAAAATAGTTTAATTTTCTGTCAGTCACTGCCGCTCTGAACAACATAACGAATCGGATAATACATTGGATGTCAGCTTTTCCTGTACTGACCTTCGGTTCGACTGTGAGCAGTGTTTTGTTTCCTGTCCTCAAGCTTCAACCCATGAGCAGCTCTCGCCGCCTCCACCCTCGCCGGCGGAGCTCGTGTGAGATGACTGGGAAGCTGAATGGGTGATGGTGATATTGAGAGGAGTTCTGTCATGGGATGACCCACCTTCAGCCCCTCATTCATGCCGACTGTACGTGGAAGAGGTGTAGATTGAGACGACAGATGGCCGGAGAGGACGGGAGGTGCGGGGAAGGTTGGTCTGGGCTGAGAGGAACCGTCATGTTGCAGAGGGATTAAAGACGTTTGTTTAGACTTCTGACTTTTTTTCTGAACTGACTGCAGCTCCAGATGTGGTGAAGTGACGCTGGGGAACTGGTCTGACAGAGTTTTAGTTGTTACCAAGCAGTTTACAACGTCTTTTTGCTTCTCTGCTGGAGCCATTACTGGACTGAGACTAGTATCAAGTCTGGTTTTGCTGCTTAGGTTGTCAGTAGTTTCAGCCTGGCTCGGGATCCTCCCCTTGCTGGACTGAGTGGTGCTTTTAGCTCGGCCTAACGTGGCTTTGACATCCTGGATGATAATCTTGGCCTGGTGACCACTTCCGGATTTTAAGAACATCTTACTCATAGATAAATCCTCCATTTCCTCTTTGTTGTCCACCCAGACGTTGTCTCTTCCTTGGGATCTTGTGCCACTTTCATTTATTTCAGAATCCAGAGAGTGAGAGTCAGTGTCTTTGGTTGTGGAAAGAGATTGTACAGCCCTCTTTGTCTTTGACACCTTCTTTTTAGAGACATCTTTGGGTTTAGTGTCTGTGGATGGAGGGGCAAAACTGGCGTTGTCTGGAATAATGCTGGTCTCCGTCTGTGCTGTGGTTCTTGACTTTAGAGCATCTGAACCTGACGGCAGGCCTCCTGCGGCAGATCTGCTTCTTTCCAGTGATCCCTTAGTAACTTGGTCGGACTTTGCAGCTTCTATCAGAGCGAGGAGACTTTTCTTTTTTGGTTTGGAGATGGTGGGAGAGGGAGACAGAGATAGGGCTGGGGAGGAGATGAGGGAGGAGGTGGTGGTGGCCATCTTGATTTGTTCGGACAGCTTCTGTTTCTTCTTCTTAGTTGACGGTGGAAGTGGTGTAGGACTTGGGGACAGCGGCTGTGACAAAGACGATGTGTTCTCACTCTTAAAAGGCGCTGCAGGTGATGACACAGCAGACACCTTTGTCCTCTCCTTTGACTGCGGACTTGCCGCCGTTGACAGTGTCCCCTCTGCCATTGGTTCAGAGGAACCTGCAACCAGCTGAGAAGGTGATGTCGTCTGATCCCTTCTGACATGACGTTCGGTCGGAGGCGTTTTGGATTTCGCTGCTGCCTTGCAATGTGGCAGGTGACTCTTCAGCCTTTTATATGTTTTCCCGCAGAATGGACACACCTCTGTGGGGACAAAATAGTGACAGAGCAGTGTCACTTTCTTTATTAATCAATGGTTACTTTCCAAAAATGTCAAATATTTCCTGTTTCTTGTGTCTCAAATGTAAGGATTTGATGCTTTTCTTTCTCGTACATGATAGTAAACTGAATGTATTTGGATTTTAGACAAGAGATCTGAAGGCATCACCTTGGTCTGTGGGAAATTATAACAAGCATTTGTCACGATTTACTGTCATTTTATGTACAAAATAATTAATCAAGTCAACCTTCTCATTGTTAATGAAAATAATCATTAGTTAAGTCCCTGTTCACACTGCCTGTTTTGTCTGACCGGACTAAAATACAAAGATATTCAGTTTACTATCTCACATATGACAAAAAAAATCATCACACTAGAGCTGACACAAAAAATTTAATTGAAGTCGTTTTTCAAGCAAGATTTGTGAAGAAAAAACAAGTATTCTCTCTCTGTTTTTCTTTGTCCTGTATAATTGCAAACTTAATATTTTTGGGTGTTTGGACTTTTGGGCGAACAAAGCAAGACATGTGGAGACATCCTGTCTGGCTCTGTGGAGCATTTTTTTTGATTGACTTTGATTGCCTTATGACTCATGATCAACTGACACTGAAAATAGTTGTTGCTACCTAGTCAGACTCAAAACCGCACGGTTGAGAAGCTGGAACCACAGTGTTTTCGTATTTCTGCTTGAAAAAAGACTGAAATGACCAATCAGCAACCAAAATAGTTGCCACTACACTATTACTCCACTTCTGCTTTCAGTTCTAAATATGTACAAATTCATAATACTGTGGAATACTAAAATCTGATTGTGAATAAATGTACAGTATGTGTTATTTATTGCTTGACGCACGTGTGGGCTGACCTTGGAACTGAAGGAAAATTGCAGCTGGAACTTATTATACTGCAGATTCTACTCTATTCAATCACTCAGGAGTATAAATCCCAACATAAACAACTCAAACACATGGAATATTGATCGTGATTAGATCACGTGATATTTACGTATGTTTTTTTTTTGTGAATGACAAACGTTTATGTAACTTACCGGAGCTCATCTTAAATGCGTGTCAAACAGCCAATCAGGGTGAAGCATGTTCCACAGCTTTGAACAGAAAAGTTGTATTAGCGGTAATATTAATGTAAAGTTTCACCAATCATCACATTAATGCGCAGTGGTGTCACTTTTTGTGAGACAACTTTTCCCTGTCGCGGATGAACTGTTGCAGTATGGAGGAAAAGACCCTTTGGGTAGCTCGTCAGGAGCCTGAGTGTAACACAAACACACATCACTATCGCAAAATTGGGTCTCAAAAATTGCTGTATGTTTCATAAGGGGGGACCAGAGAGATGCGTTATAACGGCACCTGTCGGATACATTGTATCAGCTAATGAAAGTGTTGTAGGAACATGTGGTGATCTGTTCAGTCAGTGGGTGTGGTGCGCGCACTTGGTTGAGATGATTCACCCTCATCTACTTCCGTCTTCGCGTAAACCCCCGAAAATACCAGTAAATTGTTGGCGATGTTCATCAAATTTCCCACTAAAATCTTTCGAATTTCCGGTGGAGGGGTATTTGATTTGTTCACAGCAGTTTTCACGACATTACCTGAAAAACTAGAAAAACACGGTTTCGTTGAGCAGGAAAAACATGTCCTTGGTAGTGCTGCTGGCCCATTATGTGTTTGCATTAGATTTTATTTTGACAAGATTCTGAGCTCAAGATCCACTTACTGTCGGTGAAGCTCCTCTGCTGTCATGCTGTTTCAGTATTTGTATTACGGAGGCCAGGAATCAAGTTTCACTTTCCATCTCATAGGAATTTTCTTCAAAAAGTTTGAAAGAATTATCATTATATTTAAAATGAAATAATAAGAAATGGATTTGTGTCTTATTGAAAGATACAGATACACACATATTAAATAACATTTATTTAAGAGATATTTTTGACCTTGTACCTCCCTGTTTAACTAGGCAAATTTATCCAAAGACTGTTAAGGTCAAGTCTACATTTCATGCACAAATACAAATTTGTTTGCATATTTTGGGGCAATGTTATTCATGATTAAGCAAAGTATATACTTAATAACGTGTAATAAACAAAGAGGAGCCTAATTTCATTAGAAAAGTGTATTTATTGAGAGGGTTAGAGTGGCATGAGACTTGACACAGGAATGAATTTCATAAAGGCGATGAAAAAGTTACACAAAAATACATCTACATGAAAAATGTCATCTTCATTGGAAAAGCAGTGATTTGAAAAACATTCAGCATGGAAAAAAATATGCCATTTCTACAACCATTTACATATAAGGAGATAAACCTGAATATTATTTACATGGCAACAGATTACAGTATGTACACAGCCAGGACTGGAAGCAAACAGAAGCTCACAGGAGCTTTATTTTTGTAGGAAAACTACAGTCTGTCGATGTGAACAGAGTCAAGAAAGCATGGGGTGATTTGGCAGAGAAACAGAGATTTTAACAGTCCCTGGAAGTTGTCCTCTAACAAAGATTGGCCCCCTACAGAATACAGTCGCTGACAAAAGTATTCAACTCCAGTGGCTTTTTTTTCTCTACAATTTCAAAACGTGTTTTAAAAAGGGAAGTCCTAAACAGCACAAGATTACATGTAAAAAAGTTTTTATTTTTTAGAGACGCCTGGAGTCAGTGCCAACACAGAAATTCTCACATGACTGGTTACATCTTACCATAGCAATGTTGGTTACAGTATATTCAGACGATCTAGAGCAAATCTCTGTACATCTATTAACACACATTCATCATTCAGGCAACAGGGTGGGTCTGTCCCTTTACAAGGCATCTAATCAGAGATGAAAACAAAGAGAGACAGGGGCGGGGGGAGGGTTCTGGGCCAACGATCAGGGGTCAAAGCCAGGAGGATACAGTACCAAACACCACCCAGCTAACTGTACTGAGGCCTGGCTGAGTCTCACTGCTCTGCCACCCAGATAAAGATTAGATTATTCAGTTAGTTCACCGACAATGACATCAGCATTAACGCTGGTTTTGATTCAACCCTGAGAAAACAGTGGACTGCATGTTCACTTGCTGGCACACCTGCCTAATGTGCCAAATGAAGGTATTCTACCCTCTAAACGACAATCTAAAGGACAACTTGCATGGAAACTTGCATCTTAATTATCTGTTAAGGAAGTTAAGACTGGCTTTATTTCTGTAGAGACACAGGCACAAATGCAGGATTCAAACAGTGATTTGTCTATAAGACATTATATGGAAAGGCATTGTAGGTTCAGTCTTACACTTTTATAGCAGTTTTCCACAGACAAGGTGCCAGTGCTGGAGCCATTTTCCACATCAAATCTTTAACCGTTCTGAGCGCGTTCTCCATCCATGAACTGGTCCTTGTCCCGGCAAAACTGGCTCCGTGCCGGCACTTAAGACCTGCTGATGCTGACCCAAAAAAACAGATAATTGGGACGGGTAGAGGGAGGAATGGTGCTGCCATATGAGAAAAAAAAGGACAATTGTGCAGTCTCCAGATCATCAGCAACCCTCCATAGACTACAGGGGCTTCGAAACAATGTTCACAAAGCAGCACAGGAGAGTGCAACTGAAATAATGGAGTGATTTTGGACTAGATGAATTCAGTGCTTGGACACAAACTGCCAAATCAACTCTGGCAAAGATAATCTTTGTACATTTTGACCGTCTAACTTATTTGCTTACTTGTTGTTTCAACAAAGTACTTAATTCACCATGGTTATTTCCTGTTTGTTGCTTGGTAAGTTATGTATATGTCCAGTTTTTCCACAGCAAGACACTGGCATTGGTGCCAGCACCGGCACCTTGTGAGTTGAAAAGCCCCAGCAAGTCTTGTGCTGTAAGGCAGAGCTCAGGCCAGAGGAAAAGCAGCAGAGGATCAGATGTCATCCAACATCCAAACTGCCTGCTTGTCTTTATTTTTTTACCACAGACGATCTGCCCTACTAACTCATTCCCCTACCAAACCCTGAACTAACAAGAAGGCCAACTCTTCAAAAGAGGAGCGTAAAAACTAATATAAAAACGGCTGAAGAAGAATGCTGACGTCTACCGGATTCTTCTGAGGCTGGTCTCTCCCACGTCCTCTTCAGGAGCGAGGGGGAGGTTTGTCTCCATTCAGGTCCTCTACTTTCACAGGTTGACAGGGGTCATTGGAGCATGAGTTGTTTCAGATTGTCATGGAGGATGGTGTCCTTGACGTCCCGGAACACCAGCCTGATGTTCTCCGTGTTGATGGCTGTGGTGAAGTGGTGGTACAGTGGCTTCTGGGTGGCGTCTCGTCTCTTGGCCCGGAAGCACTCCACCATGAACGCCTGGATTTCTGGCAGGCTGTGCTCCGGCCCGGTGTAGTCAGGAAAGTAGTCCTTGAGCGGAACGCTCTTCACCTTCTCCTCCAGTAGGTCTGTCTTGTTGAGGAAGAGGATGATGGAAACGTTGATGAAGACGCGGTTGTTGACAATGGTCTCAAAGATGTTGAGCGATTCACGCAGTCGATTAGTTTGCCTGTCCTCCATCAGCACCTGTGTATGACAACAAAAGGGATTAAGTACAATTACTACTGCTAGTACTAGTGCTGTAGTTATTGCACTTGCAGACAGAAATGAATGGCATCCTAGCAAACAGTGCCGCCTAAAGATCAAATGCTTTTTAAATTCTGCATGGTACATCCCGTCAGATATTAATGGCCTTTGTCTGAGTTGAGATCGCTACAGTATTTGTATTTATACCAATCTGTGCTCAATTTCATTGCAGTGAACCAAGTCTATTTTGCTAGTCTTATCACGTGCAGGACGAAAATCCTTAAGTGTCAGTTCCAGATTTGGCAATGGGCCAGTTTTTGCCTCTTAGTTAGACATTGCTGGTCGAGTCAGCCTGTTGATATATACAGCCCATAGTGTTGTTGGTATGGTGCACACAAATGAGGAACAAGAGCTGGAAGAGCCTCACTTGTCATTTACATTCACTGGCTGCAAGCACTGCAGTTTGTATGTGCCAGCACTGTTGAACTAAAGATGGGTATATCTGTGTAAACACTTCAAACATGCCAATTTATTTGAGACAGCATCATCTAAGTATGTCTATTACAGGGACAAGCAAAAAACTGACTGGGAGGCAAGTCCCTCTCCGCTCAGTATTCATGCAGTTTCTGACTGTGGATTCAGACAGACTTAAAGCAACAGAAACCAGTGACAAAGAAATGTGTATTGCTGCAGACGTGTAACTATACTCTGCTGTGGAGAATATGGAACAGCTCAAAGGCATATACCGTTCCATATAGGGCTCAAGTGATACATCAGCTGGGTGGACTTTATCACAGATATAGATATATATAGATTTTTATAAGCCACAAATATCAATATCGTTATCGACCTTTTAATTATGAGTTGGGATCTACTTGCTTCATGTGTTCATTTCAGTTTATCTGTTGTGCAACTTCTACAAACACAATTTTAATATGTACATTAAAAAACATAAAACAGAGACGTTATCTTGCGGCCATTTCTACTGTTTTCACTGCTCTACTGAAAACATACCAAACCCTGACCCCAAAACTGAGATTCCTATCAAACCATAATTCTGTTTTTCTTTACATCCTTTGAGTAAACATGAAAGATCATCTCATTGGCCATTGAGCTGTTGCTATTTAAATTTATAGAACCTCTCAATTTTGGGGCTGTTTGGGTGGGGGAGTATGTTCTCAGCCTGTATTTGCAGTTTAGCGAAGAAAGACAAGGAAGTCACGCGACAAACCATTTGCGATTACTGGTATGAGTCTTAATCACAAACCACCAACCTACTCTGTCGTCTACTGAATATAAAAGAAAATGTACTCAAGAGTCACCACTTGCACTAAATATAGGTGACACTGATAAAAAACAGTTTAAGTTTGAGGTATAATTTGTGGATTTTTATTTGAGGATGTCTACACATGCTGAGAGATAAATCACAGCACTATAGACCAACAATAGTAATGCGCATATAGACACAATGATCATGACTTATCGAAAGTCACCAAACATTATCTGCTACCGCAAACTGATTAATGTGCCACTTATCAGCCTATCTTAAGTGTGTGTGCCTGCTTGTGAGGTGGAGGAAATTAGATGCTATGGCACACCAGCGGCGTATTTTCACCTGATCGTATTCAGAGGAGGAGACGAGGAAGAGGATTGAGGTGACGGAGTCGAAACACTCGAACCAGCGTCTTCGTTCTGACCGCTGCCCGCCCACGTCCACCATCTTGAAGGGAACATTCTTGATTTCAAAGTCATACTCGTGGATGCCTTTGGTGGGTTTACGGGCCAGCAGGATGTCTTGTTGACTGGGCAGATAATTCTGGAGGAGAGATGGAAAGAAACAATGAATAAATATCTTCATATATAGAAGAGGAATATGAGAAAAAAAATACAATTTGTAACCATTTGAAAGCTTTGATTTCCTACTCTTCCACATTTGGTCAAAGAATACCGCCAAAACCACGTGCTACTGTATAAATTTCCCCTTACAAGAGGAAGCAACTGAGCATGTAGACGAAGAAGAAAAGAAACGGCAAACAAAAACATATTCCAGCAGAAAGTTTGCACCTTGATCTTGGGCCTAGATCTCCAACAAAATATCATTCAGGTAAGGTAAAGACATACATGGATATCGGTAATGTGTTATCTTGTTTTAGTCTATTATGAGGAAACATTTAGTTTGAAACAGACACATTTGATGCAGGTTTTCAATCATCATAAAGGAAAGGGCTTGAAAAACTTAATCATCTTCCTAGAGATGACACATTCATGAGCTCTAAGGAAATCCCAGCAAAATCACAAGGAAATACTTACATACATTTTTTTCCCCAAATGTGGAGCCTTATTTATTCTTTATACCGGAAAGCCTCGTACTTTCATCTTTGCACTGGTAGAGGTTTAACATTGTTAGTTTATAACTGGCTTCTATCTGTTTCTACTGAAACCTCAGTCTAAACTTAGAGCCTGGAAATTTCTACTGATGATTCCAGGGAAGCTTGTGTTGAGGCTCAGACACAAACAATGCTTCAGTACAACTGAACAACCATCTGTTAAGCTAAATAAATATAATGACAATATTTCTGATGTTTTTTAAATGTTAAGAGTCTCATGGTACTTTCATTTATTGTTTGAGAAGGTTATTAGTATGACCTATATAAAACAAACACGTTTATGCCAGCTAATTAGCATAAATAAGCAGTATATAAACATTTAATGAAGGCTTTATAAACACACTATAAGTAAGTTCAGTGTTTTCTTAATCTACAAATTTATCAACAACTGTAACTCCACCTGTGGACAGCCATAAGTGTATGCTGCTGTATAAACAGATGATGAATGACAATAAAGTAAAACAGTTGTAATAATATAAAATATGTCTTAATAGCAGAACTTGTACAGTACACAGTACTGCACAATAATAAACACTTAAAACCTGTGACCTGGAACTTGATAAGCAGCATAACATGGATAGATGGATTAACAAAATGATGAATTCACTTTGGTTCATTTAAGTTTTAGCTAAAATTGATATTTTATAACTTTAGAAATCTATTACAAGACAATGTGCTTCCTGGGTACTGTAACTAGCAGTAGTGACAGTCTTTACTACAGGTCTGATAGTGAGAACTAAAACTCAAAAACAGGACTGAATCTACTACTGGAACAATCTCACTTTTAGTTTATAGTGGTATAATGTTTCCTGACAGATACAAAACATTTTATAACTAACACTACGACCTTTATTTAAGACTTTTATAAATTAAATTTAAGACTTTTCATAACATGCTAAAGGCATTTTTTAGGAAACTGGACTCTACACTTTTAAGACTTTTAAAGACCTGGAATTAGCCTGATATTATATCTATTAGTACTTTGTCAAAACTTCCCAATCCAATAACACTGATGTAATGCAATGACCAGTTGTTTCATGGCTAAATGGTCAGTTAATATGAGCTTCTTCACCACAATGTCAGCATTTTCCCTGATGAACAACCATCTTAGCCGTTTGTCAGCTAACCTTAAATTGTATAGACGTCGCAATATTGACTATAACATGTCCACGTCTGATTATAACAATCAGTGCAGGCAGAAACAACTTACCAGCTCGCCAAGCTTATCCAGATTATCCAAGAAATACTTCACTGACTCACCCTGCGAAAGGACAGAGAAGGAATTTCTGTTAATTCTACGCAATTTATTAGATTCAGTCATTTTCATCTTAAACACCACGATGCACATTTACTAACTGCTATTACTGCATTCATTAAAACATACTTGTTGCTATTGTAGAAGCATTGAGCTACTGTGGGACAAAATCTCTTTAGCTGCAAAATGGACATGCAGGTAATCTGTTTGTTTTCTCTTTCAAAAATGCGTGTCTGCCCGAGACCTGAGTCTGCTCTGAAGAATTGAAGCAGGATGCAAATTATTTGGTATTGCAGTAGACACGTGTTTGAAAGCGTGTCTTTGATCTCCACAGAAATGTGGCTAGATCTTTGAGTGTGTGTGTGTAGGGGGTGTTTTTTCTAGGCCGTTCTGACGCTGTTCATGCGCTATTAGTGCAAGCCCAGACATGAGGCTGCCAAGACTGAGATGCATTCCTTTATCTGTGAGTGTGTGTGTCCTGTACTCAACATAAACTAAAAACTGACTGCAAAAAAGCAAAAGGCACTTTCCTTGTCATCTTTCCTGTGACCCACAGTGTCAGCAAGCGATTTCAGTGGATCGTTTTGCATGTATTTTGCATCAATGAGACAGTAACCCATGACATATGCAATAAAATTCAAATCTTATCTGTAGTAGTGATTGTTTGGGTTGTATTTCTGTGTGCTAATGCCACGTACCAGCCATTTCCTGCACTGTAAGCTGCTGTACTCACCTTTTGATCCCTTAAAAAACTAACCTGACCTGAAAAACCTGTGTGCATGTGAGTGTGTGTGTGTGCACGTGGGGTATGTATGCAAGGCTTAGATTACACAAGGGAGGAGCTGAATGGCATGGTGCTGCGGTGAGGACTACAGAGACAAGAGTTACCTTTCTGTGAAGCTAATTTTAATTCTTGTCATAGTTCTGGCTTCACATGAGTAAAGAAGCTCAAATTTGCATGGACTGGTGGTTTTGAAATAGTCAAAAATCACTGAGATGAATAAAAAAAGAATTTAAAAAAGGATAAGAGACAAAAGGACAGCAATCACTCTGAGATCTGTTTGTTATTAAGCATGACAGTGCCTGCAGTTGATATGAATGTGCTGTAAAAGCAAAACTGAAACATAATGTTATATAACAACGTCAATACGTCATTTGTATCGTAACCACTTAAAAAGTAATTGGATCTATAGTGCTTTTGTGACTTAATGTTAGTAGGTGTTACTAAACTGACACAAAAAAAAAAAAAAAAAAATCAGGTGAGAAGAGAGAGAAAATGTGTATATGAACAGTGTTCTACACAAAGCGAGAGAATCCATGTGTGGTTTCAGTATGTACATGTTTTCTTAATGACAAATACAAGTGAGCCTGGAGGCGTGTGTGATTTGTGATGCAAATACTTAAAGAGCATGGTCAAAACACAATGGGGTGTATCTGCAGGCGGAGAAACAAATTAGTCCTCGCCAACAAGAGCAGGGAAAATTTAAACAGCCCCCAACAGAACAACTCTTCAGTGGCTGCTTCAGGTTTTTGTGTGTGATAGGTTGTGTTGTTTTGGAGCGCTCGTGCCCTGAGGGTTAAGATTTAATTCACGTTTAGATTTAATATATGAAGGATGCAAATAATGATTATTTTCATTATTTATTAATCTGTTGTGTGTTTTTTTTTTTCATTTTTTTTTTCAATAACTGTTCAATTGTTTGGCATTCACTGGCTGAAAATAAGGTATGAGATTAAAAAGCATAACATGCAGACTTGTAAATATAAGGGTAAAGGCTGCAACATTTTTCTGATGAATCGTTTAGTCTGTAAAATATCAAAATATCACAAAATTTCCCAGAACTCAAGTTAACATCTTCAGTACCAAACTCAAAGATTTTTAATTTGTAATGATCTAAAACAGAGAAAAGCACAAATTCACATTCGATTGACTGGAACCAGCAAATATTTTTGGCATTTTTGCTTAACAGACGACACTGTTTATTAATTTTCTGTTCCACAAAAAACCAACTATTTTAACTTTTGAATCTTCTTTTTATGTCACTCTTTGTTTGTAGTTATAGGTAGATATTTTATATTGTTTCATTTTGCATGCCCATGTTTAATGTTGGATTGAATATGTGTGTGTGTTTGTTTTCTGGTGCATATTTTTCACTGGTGTGTTATGTGTAAGTTATTTTACAACAGTATTAAAACAAACTCATTGTTTCAGTGCTAAAATAATATCCCTGATGACAGATTCAGAGGTGTAGTACATGTAAGTCACATTTTTTAAGCAAAAATGCACTGGTTTCAGCTTCTAAATTTTGCTAATTTTTGATTTCTATGATAATAAAGTGAATATATTTCAAAGGGCTTTTTTCTTTTCTTTTTTTTCTTTTATTACAATTTTACAATAGTTTAAATGCCAAAATATATTTGTTAGTTGCAACCCCACAGGCACTCAGAATGTGCATGTGTGTGTATCCTAGTACTTGTGTAACTTGAGGTGTGTGACAGTCTTAGTGTTTGTGTGCAAATAACACTAAGTGTGAGAGCCAGGGCTCTGTTTGTAAGCATAAAGCTGTTTAACTACAGATCAACATTCCTGCTCTGATCACTCTTATTCCCCTCTCTGTCTGCACAACCAGTGTGTGTGTGTGTGTGTGTGTGTGTGTGTGTGTGACTAACAAAACGCCATTGAGAACAGTTCAGCCTTATTCAACTGACAGAAGAATTTTAATTTTGTGCTTTTGAGAGCAACTTGGAGAAGTGTGTCCCCTTTTCTCTCCTCGGTGAGGGGGCTCCTCAACAGCTGGACAATGTATAAAGTTTATGACATGACCTGACAGCTCACATAAAATAAGCAAATACAAGGCAGCATAATCAGGAATTTTTCAAACCACAGCAGGTTGTGAAAGTAATACCAGGCAAAATAAAAGCACAGAAAGGTCCCAGTAATTCTCGACCACAGCTGTAGTGTTATTCAGGGGCAAATGTCAGTATGTTAAAACGTGCATGCTGACAACCAAGGAGCGGGTAGAGGTGTAAACAGGAAGCTGACTCAATCACATGTCTCACAGCTTAACATAGAGTGAGGGAGCGACAGGACACAAAAATCAGCGTGAGAGATACGGGGAAAGAGGAAAGGGAGGATTAATTAAGAAGAAATTCAGTTTCACTTTCTATTTTCACAGCTGTTTTCTCTGCCTTTCACCAGAAATCTCTTAACTGGATTGAGTTGTGTAATAAAACCACATAAAAAAAATTCTTATCAGTGTTAGCTGGTACAAAAACTGGGCCACCATTATGCTTCAATAATGTTAAATCAATGTGTGTGTACATCCACCTACCAGCTGAAACTCCCTGCGACGATCAAAGGCGTTCTGTATACCCGAGTCCGCCCACAGAGCTTTGATCGCGGGCAGGTACTGCAAGAAGATTGATGTCTCCAGCTGCCCACTGGCCATCCTAGCCGACCGGGTATCGAACGCCATCAGGCTGTCTCCATACTGCTGGTTGCCTGGGTCGCCCCACGGAATGTGCAGCTTCTCCCGTGCGTCCACCAATACACGTACACCTGGAGAGGAAGTGAAGAGATCACTGTCAGTGAGGCCCACAGCTAGCATCTTAAAATCTAGCAGGACAGATACGAACAAAAGATAAAGTGGAAGAGAGACTAGAGGAGCATGCCAACCGATAACACCACACCAGTGTCCTATAAACCTGTTCTGTCTGACAAGTACTAGCATGGATGTAAAAATGGTGATTTTAAGGTATCACAACCACAAGATAAACATGAACTACCAATATTTTATTCACTTTATCTATTTATCCAATACAATATTCACTCCTGCAACTAATGATTATTTTCAGTATTGATTAATCTGCCCATTATCTTCCATACAGTGAAAGATACCCATTATTTTAAATGTCTTGTTTTGTCTGACCCACAGTCCATCCAGTTTATTCCAGATCCAGATCATTTGTGACAAAAAAAGCATCAATTCCTCATATCTGAGAAGCTAGAAACAATGTTAATGTTAAAATGATATTTTTGCTTAAAATTGAATTGAATTGAATATCACAATTAATTTTATCTCGATCAATTAATTGATTACTTGTTGCAACCCTATTTACGAGAGTAATTATTAAAATACCCATGTTCTCCTATGGTGTCTGTACTAATAACTGAATTCAAACAACAAAATGTACAGGGAGTGGACAGTGACAGCAACACTTCACCTTGCAATGGTGCAAATCAATACATTTGTGAAACTTGCAATGATTTATATTACATTTTATATATTATTGGACTGTTGACCGGCATTGATTTAACTCTGGCTATTTTAGGATAGTTTTGTCTGCCCTGGATTACAAAGTATTGTAAGATGTCCCTGTTATTTAGTGTACTCCCTGTACATACAAAGAGTGGACAAACAGGAACACATTACTACATAATGCAGTGGTGGGTTTACCCTCCATTAGCTTCATCCCTAGGTTGGTTGTTGAGCAACAAAACTTGCCTATGGCTATTTGAACTGCTGGCTTGTGTGTAGCTATGATAAGCATTTAAAATATGTTATGTTATACGTCTGTGAACTCTTAAAAAAGAGGTTTAAGAAGAAACACGGTTCATATGGGTGTGCCGACAGCAGATGTAGACTGTTTATATATGTCCTCTCACCCAGCCCAGCGCTGCTAAACAGATGTGGAAACTTTCCCATCCATTTTCAGCGCCTTTCTGGGGCCTTTCAGTCGCAGCAGGACGGCTTTATTTCCCTTACTAATGTACCTGTCGTTTACAGAGAGGTTACCTTTAATAACGTTGCTGTAAATCGTGCCTCTGAACTCCTCTCGGGCTTGCTGGTCGAAGTCCTGGCCGTGGATGATCCGCATTTGTTTGAGGAAAGTCGACTTGCCGCTCTCGCCAGCGCCTAGCAGCAGGATCTTCACCAACCGTTTCACATACGGTTTCTCCCGGGAGAGACATCTGTCGATCTCCTTTGACTTTCGCAGCTGTTCGACCTCGCCGCTGTTGAGCAGGCAGACAGGTAGACAAACTTTTAACACGGACCTGGTCGGCAGGAAATCCGCCATGTTCGCACAAACTTCATCGATGCTAATTTGATGCGCGTTCGCGGAGCGCAGGCACGGGACCAAGCCCCTTCCCTAAACTCAGGAAGTAGTGCTGCTAACACTTTACCACCAATCTTAAACCACTTCACTGTTAACTCACACAAACGTAGTCTTTTATCTTTAGCTACGTATGTCTTGACACACACAAATTCGGTATAACTAACGCTAGCATATATGAGGTTCAAGTGAGAATATGTCAGTTGAAAGCCTGAATTTAGAACATTTTCAACTTTTAACGGTCTTAGCGATACAGTTGGCTAATTTACAACTAAAACGTTCCGGTTCTTAGTCATGTGTGACTCAATATAAATATTGTCGGTGTTTTTTTTTTAAATGGTCGTATCTAAAACGATCTAAAATGCAGTTAAATCGGAACACTACACTGGACTGGTGATACCACGTCGCTCTCTGCCGGTTCACTTTGGTAACTGCGTCACACAGTTTGACCGTTAGAAAAAGCCCCGCTCTGATTGGTTGATTCTCCTCTTGCTTTAGGTGTGTTGCCTTCATGGCATGTTGGGACCATGTGAATTTGTAATTTAACGTTCTCCAAAAGGTCAATAAAACTGGAAATGCGGACACAAAAGCCTCTATTTTCCATGACTAAACCATTTTATCAGTCGTCGGAGGCATTTATGTAAAGATCAGAGGACAGCTGTTAATTGCTGAATAAAGTGTTGTATTTTTTTTATTATTTCAGACTTTTTAAAATATATATAATTCCATGCTATTGATTTATATTATGCATTTGCATTGTTGGTTTGTATAACACACCCAATGTTTTATTAAGATAATTAAGCTTATATGCGAAAGGTGCATATAACAGTATGTATACAATTTCAGAGCCTCCAAGTAGGAGCTTGTGAAGATCAGTTGAAGGCAGCATCAGTATCCCTCAATCCACTTCCCCTCCAGCATCCCCACACGACACAGGGGCTCACAGGCGACAGTAGGATCATATACGTTTCTGTTTGTGAGAGAGAAAAGCATTACCATGACCATTAGAAATACTCTCCGGGATCATGGACAGAGGTATCGACCACGGATGGCTTGTCTCAAGAAGGTAAGTTATCCTTTTACATCAGTGGTGAGTGTGATGATCACAGCCCTGCTCAGCCATGCTCATAGGCTATACCTGCACACGCACCTATAGATAGGTCACTTATATGAATTCTCAAACGCAATCCTTGGGCTGTAGTTGCGTACTGGCATTTGCTCTTGTAAACTGCGTTAGCCTCTAAAAACAATCTGCATTCTCCACAGGTCCTCAGGAATCGGAACCGCTTTTTCATGGTGCTTTTATTGTATATGTTTATTTAGTTTAGACATTTTTGCAAAGCACAAAAGCCCACAGGTGCCATTTGAACTATAGAATGCTTTGAAGAAATGCAATAAATCAGATAACAAGTATGCCATGTTTCAATCATGTGTTCAAATCTGAATTTTTACTACACGATTAATTAGAATCAGTGTTAAAATAACATTTCATAAGAACCATACATGCAACAGAATGACATGACAGCAAAATACATACATACAAGTCATTTTGGTTCCTGTGCAATCTTTATATTTGCCTGTCACTCTAAATGTTTGACTGTGTTTCATTGCAACCTTTTCACAGTGATAAGGTCATTCATTTTAATAAGCATTAAGCCTGGATCAGTATCGGTGCTTCCATTTACACCAAGCAGCCACTGGAAAGAAGTTAATCCAGGCACTGTGTATTGGAAAACAACAGCCCGGTCCTGTAGCCAGAACAGGGCTTGATTCATCATCTCACATTTCAAATTCATTCACATGAGGAGCTGGATATTTAACTTTTGGCTTTAGAAAAATTGTGCCAGAAATAATTGAGACAAAAGCTTTTGAAGCTTCATTAGCAAATTATTTTCAGAATCTATTGATCCCAGATGCAGCAGTCTTTCACAATGTCCCGCTCTCCAGGGGAATGCTCACTCAGAACTAATTTCCAGGAGAACTTCATGTTCTGGTCCATGAAAGCCCACTTTGGTCTGACTCAGCTTGGGGCTTATAGCCTCTCCAGGATGACTTCAAAGCACAAAGCCACTTCAAACAGGCCCAGGAGTCAGCTGCATACACTCTGTCTCTCTCACACACACACCCGTTCACACACACACTGAATTAATGTACTGCACAATTTCTTGCTTTCCGGTGCACACCTGAGCTCTTGCGTCCCTGTTGGGATCCAATGATATGATAACAAAAAAAAACAACGGTGCTTACAGGGCAGTGACTCACCACAAACCTCCCACACAAGCCAAACAAAAGCCATGAGATCACGGCCTGTCACACACCTCTCATCTCACCTCTCGCCATCTTTAAATGCAGTGCTGAAGCACTGAATTATAATGTTGTTTTTGGATGAAAAAGATAAACAGTCATAGTCGTAAAATCATCCAACATTTGTCTGATAGAAAGTATTGACTACAAGCTCTGACAGTGAGCCTTAATATCTCAGAGGCACAACTTCAGAGTACACGAGAGGCGATTTCATTAAATAGAAAAGAGGTTAACAGTGTTGTTGCACACGCTGAAGATGATGATAATGATCATGATCACCATCATGTCCGAGATTCTCTACAGTGAACTCTCATCCACAAAAATCCATCTAACCTGCTTTTTTATCCTCAAATTATAGAATGTGCCTTTGGCCTGATTTTCCAAATTGTTGTCAAAGCAACCTGTTGGCATGGTGACCTCTGCCCCATCCCCCGCCCACCACTATCTTGTCTAGGTTACCTCTTCTCACTTCTTACAATATCCCTTCGCAGGCAGAGAAGGTGCTGCTGGAGATGCAGGACCCCAAAACAGGAGTCAAGTCACAGCCTCAGAGACTGGTTATCACAACAATACCACATGCTATTACTGGTAAAGAGGGTACACCACACACACACACACACACACACACACACACACACACACACACACACACATACAGTAGTACACACTTGATGTTATTCAGCGGCTGGTTGAGTGATTTTCCCTGCATAGTCTCACTGGAGGATACCAGAGCTCCGGGCTCAAACTCGAGAGCTACAGATTTCATCTCCATGACAACCCCCGCGGTCTCGGAGTCAGAGAGAGGGAAAAAGTAGGAGGTGGAGGAGGAGGAGGATGATAGAGTGGGCAAGAGGGAAAAAACAAGAAACAGAGACAGAAAGAAGAGAAAAACACAGAGAGACAGTGAGGAGGTGGTGGTGATGAAGGAGGAGAAGAAGAAGAAGAGAGGGATCCTAGACTTCTACGTCATCTGTGAGCTTTGAATCCAGGCAGCTGAATGGATACTAAGGAAACTTTTCTTTCCTTTCCTTTCCTTTCCTTTCCTTTCCTTTCCTTTCATCTTGTCTCCTTACCTCTCCTCCGTCCTTTGTTTCTCCATGTGCTTCCTCCTGTCTACCTCCTCCTCCTCCTCCCCCTCCTGCTCCCCTCCTTCCACCTGTCTCCCCGCATTAGCAGTAGAGGCTCACAGGCTATCGACACAGTCAGTAGTGCTGCATCAGAGAGGGGTCTGGCATTTACAGGCACACACCCACCTACCTATCAACACACACTCAGCACTTATTTCTTCTTGTTCGCTGTCAGACTTGCTTTTATAACTGGTTGGGCATACTTTTTTTTTTTTTTTTTTACATCTGACTTATCATTTGCATCTTTTCTTTTATCCTCAGGTGAAGACATAATTGCATGGTTAGCAGACAGATTTCAAACAGACACACAAGGTGAGAGATGAGGCAGCCGATGCCATTAAATATATGTAGTCTTTTTTGTTAGAAATCCTTTTTTTATGATGTTATCATTGCCACAGCAGCTGCTGAATTCCTGCTCGTCTCTCTGTCTCTTGTATTCAGAGGCGAGGAATTTTGGCTCTATGCTGGTGGCGTTAGGTTACATCTACCCTCTACAAGACCACAAACGCTTAGTGATCAAACCAGATGCATCCCTCTATCGCTTCCAGGTAAATGCACCACATTTCACATTTTTGTCGTGATAACATTTTTATTAAGGTAGGAATGATACGACAATATATGCAAAATGAGATGAAAAAAGTCTAATATCTCTGGTTGTATTAGGCCATTGTGGTAGTGTTGCAAATCACTGAGCAGGATTGCTGTGTGGTGATATAAAGGATCTTTGCATAAATGTGATGATACACTTAGATTTTTCATGTATTTAATTGAGTGGATTAGTCGAAACAGACCATCACCATCTGATCATTATAACACTGAATGGTTTCTCGGTCAAATTTACAGCAAACATACTATATTGTAACATATATTGACAGAAGATTATAATCAAACTGCCCACCAATTTACTGGACTTGACTGTTTTGAAATGGTAAACATAATTTAAAAAATGCCCATCACAGATTCCCAAAGTCCATGTCTTCATATAGCTTGTTTTGTTTGACTTAGAGTCTAAAAATCAAAGACATTCAATTTAAAATGATATAAAACAAGAAAAATGTTTCACTTTATAGTATATCATATATAAATAAATCGAATATCAGAACTTGCATTGCATTTTGATTGAACAAGCTGATACTTGAATTAATTTAACTGACAGTAACACTTCTGAAATGATGTAAAATCTGCCTTTTGTCCTTTCCAGACACCGTACTTCTGGCCCACACAGCAGTGGCCTGTTGAGGATACAGATTATGGTGAGTGTGGCTATATTTCATTCTCAGGTCCCATTATCAATGCTCAGTTAACTCTCCTTTTTGTTTTATTATTGAAGCAATCTACCTGGCGAAAAGAAACATACGGAAGAAAGGAATCCTGGAGCTGCACGAGCAGGTGAGAACGAGACCGAGAGACCCGAGGGAAATTCAATTTGTTTGTTGCTGGCATTTACTGATGCGTCATTTTATGTCCTCAGGAGCAGTATAACCGTCTTCACAAGTGGATGAATCATAAATGGGATTTCATAGTGATGCAAGCTAAAGAACAGTACAGGTAGGTGTGAGAGAAACTCAGAGACACCACTCGATTTGAAGATCGCAAAGGTGATACGATCATGTGTGTTTATGTGTGTGTGTTTTTAGAGCTGCAAAGGAGAGGAAGAAACCAGACCGTGTGGTTTTTGACTGCCAGGAGAGAGCCTACTGGGTGGTTCACAGGCCTCCGGTGAGAACACACACGCACACACAAACACACACAAACACACACACACACACACACACACACACACCCACACACACACACACACACACACACACACACACAGATACTGATCAGACTTGCACTGCACACACAGGACGCAGCTTCATGTAGATAACCGCGGATTGCTAGCAGACAGAGAGGTTTGAAAATAAATTACACTCCATCTCTATACTTCCCAGGGTATCTCATTATCTCTACCCATGATGCCTCATTACTGTTACATGTCCAGTCAGAGGAAAAGGGCATGAGTGATTAATATTTCACACTGCGTAGGAGAATGTGGCGCAGCGGTTCGCACCTTGTGCTTCCAGCATGGTGAGTCTTGGTCTCACCCTGTGTCCTGAGGCTGGATTACTGACCAGGCCGAAGTGGGCAACTGGTTTCCAGACATCCAAGGGCTCGCAAATGACCCAGGTTCACTGTGTCAAGTGGGTTGTGGTAATTTGATTAAGTGCAAATGTGTTTGGAATGCAGGTCCTGCTTTATAGCATAATTTTGATTTTATTGAAGGTCATATTGTGTTGATATGGCACATACTCCTAAGATTTTAGAGATAGGCAGTACGCTAGCTTGCCAGGAGTAATTGTTGGTCTCTGTGGTTATAATGAAGCTGCCAAGAGCAGTAGTTTGCACTGTACTTAATGGGCACTTTAAATGGGCACTTAAAGTGAGTCTATAGAACATTTGCTGAGCTGTGACCAGCAAAAGCTCAAGACAGTAAGTGACAATTGCAGGATCATGGTGAACGCTAAGACATAGTGTAACAAGAGCACAAGTAGAAGACAGTGACTCATAAATATCAGCTTAAGTTTTGTAACATTAGCCACCATAAGCTAATGGTCATATGGTATAAGACTGTATATAAAGATGGACATAGCCTCCTTTAAACCTTAATACAATGTAAACGGGTGAGTTATATAAAAAATCACTGCTTGTACAGTTGTCATGAAGGGCGAAATTACCTATAGAGACTAAATCCATTCTTTGCACCAGGCTGTAAACATGTTTATTTCTGCTGTAAAGTTGGGCATTTTAACATGGGAGTCAGTGGGGATATACTTGTTTTTGGAGCTAGCCTCAAGTGGCCATTTGAGGAACTGCAGTTTTGGGCACTTGCTTTGGCTTCGTGTTTCAGCCGTTTGGTCATACCAGACCAAACCACCGAGGGAACTGAATGAGGATACTTTTTATTGCTTATAGTTTTAATTTAATTCATTAGAGGAAGACTGTGTGATTTCTTCTGTTACTCAGTCTCACTTTAAAGGTCAAAGGGTACATACATGATGCACAGAGCTCAGTAGGGACCCAGTAGGTTAAACAGGTCATGGTCACATGTCATCCTCCCTCTCTCCTGGTGGGATTTTCATTACTGGATTTGGACTATCAAATGAAGCACAACCACCACTTTAAATATAGAGTGAACATTTAAAGGAATAGTTCGTCTTTGGATCAAACAAGCAAGATAGAATGTGTTGAATTTGGAGTTTAGAGATGCTTGTGTGTGTATTTTTTTGACTCTGTAGACGGCCAGGCTAGCTCTTTCCCCCTGTTTCCAGTCTTTATGCTAAGCTTAACTAAGTGCCTTTTGGATTCATCTCTGTACTAAACACACAGACATGAGAATGGTATTGGTCCTCTCATCTAAAGATTGTTTTTTCAATAATTTTGAACTATTCTTTTAATCTTCTTGTGAGAATAAATAACAGTAATTAATAATTAATTAGCGTTTTAACTTTTTCTTCCCCAGGAAATTTTCACACTTTTTCTTAAGATGCAATATTAGAAAACAACATTTTCTATAACTATCTTTTATTACAACATTTTATAGAGAGGGTTCCTGAATCTCTTGGCAACAAAACAAAAAGAAAAGATTGTGTTTGCATTCAAATTACATAAAATGTTGATGTAAGCTGCGTTTATTTCCCCACATGACAGTTGCATGCTGTACGCAGATTCATCTTTTTATTCATAAAAGTCAAAGTGAGCTTTCTGTCTAAGCTAATATCATTATCTAGGGACAGAGTCACCCTACTCATACTCACTGTAAATGTGGTTTCATCTCACTGCATTTTTCAAGGCTGTTGCTGGAAACAAACAAACAACTTAAAAAAAAACAGATATATTTGTAATGTCTGAGAGTAAATTCACAAAATCACATTTTACATATAACTGGTGACTGTCCTCTTGTTGCCTCAGATTTTAAGGAAAAGTGTGACACATTAGCAGCATATGATTAGCATTATAAAACGGCCATCTGCTTTAATTAATTAGTCCTTTAATAAACACACATTGTGTAATCATTTTTGTCGATGTTTGTGTGTGTGTGTGTGTGTGTGTGTGCAGCCAGGAAAGGTGAGTGCCATGGACTATGGACTGGATCGACGAATAGATCCTAACGCTGACGAGGTAACAGGTGAGTGTCTGCATGACCTGTATGAAGATAATTCCTGTCAATCAGCTTATATTGTATAAGAGGCTTTAATGCATGGATCCATGTGCAGTCAAGGCTACTTATCCTCCCTGTCCTTTCCCTGTCTGCTGTTTCAAACATGACACTATCTTTCACTGAAATTAATCTTAATTCTCTTCTCTTCTCTTCTCTTCTCTTCTCTTCTCTTCTCTTCTCTTCTCTTCTCTTCTCTTCTCTTCTGCAGGCATTTCCTGTGGTTCTATTTTATCCAGAATTTTAAACTGGTTACAAACACTTACACACACCACCCCATATTTATTCTTGACATAATGCATTTCGTACATCCTAATGTTACCACTACATGCTTAACCCTCAACCATTTTTACTCATTAAATTACTCATTAAAGTCTCTTTACAGGTCTTGGGGAGTATATGAAATACATATAGATATGTATACATATAAATTAACCTTCTGTGGCTCCAGGGGGAGCTGTGCAAATACTGATAAATGTCACTTAAGTCATTTGAGTCAGCACCTGTTGTGGCTCAAGACTACAAGTTTGAAAATGAAGAATGTGCAGAATAAAAAAAAAATATATATCTCTGGTTCTTGTGCATTGATGATGATCATTAAAAAAAAACTGCCCAACGTGAGTCAGAAAATGTTATTGAAGTACAATGCTAAATCAGTGCAGCAATTTTTACCCCTCAGACAGCTACTTGAACAAGTGAGGATCTCAAAAATGTCCTCACTCTCGAGGTCTAAAACTCACAATGGTCCTCAAAAAGACACAAGTACAAGATCATGGATACAAATACACTTTGTCTATACATGTTTATTTTTTATCTGTGATATGACACATAATCTGTGTATTTTTCTCCAGGCAAAAACCCCTGACTTCTTCGAGAGAATTGTAAGTGAGAATTTACTCTCCACCCATCGTTTGACTTTTCCAACATTTTTCTCTCTCTGTGTTTCATCTCAACCAACAGCTGCATTAACTGTTAGCTCTGATCCACAGAGACAGACCTGTTTTCCTCACATTTTTATAGCTGTCATCTCTCCTCTGCTCCCTGTAGATGATCTTTACGCAGCAGTCGATCATGAGGCCCAGAGTGAAGTCATCTGTGTCCATTGGCGCGTAAGATTGTTATTTTCAGTCCCAATATCTGTGTCAAAACAGGCGGCTCATGCTGCTTGTATCATGAAGTGTATGTCTCAAAATAGAAAAAACACAATATCTTTAACTGAAATGGAGGACAGGTGAAAGTCATGCACGGATGAGATTTGATGAGCAAATGTGATACAGTTACTGTAGGTTCATGTCTGTTTTGTTTATATAGCACCAAATAACAGCAGAAGTTATGCAGGGCAGGTCAAGACTGTACTCTTTACAATATTATTTACAGAGACCCAGCATCCCCCAGTGAGCAAGCACTTGGCGACAATGGCAAGGAAAAACTCCCTTTCAATGGCAGAACCGGCTCTTCAGTGACTTATTATCAAATTATGCAAATTTAGGCCATTTATTATGTTAGCCGAACTTTCCACGAAATTTCAATAAAATCTGTTAACTATAACAAACAAAAAAGAGGGGAACATTTCAACAGTTGGTCACTGATTTACTCCTGTTCGCTCAACTGGACACCCCATGATGCCAGTGTGTTGACTCTTGTGCATAAAGAAGCATTTTGGTTAATATTTAGTGGTGTGATTGATATGACTATGATATAACTCCCTTTTACTCCTAAGTGCAGTTATGTAATATGACATGACATTTAATTCAGTTTTTTCATCTTTGGCCGTATCGTCGCCTATAATGAAAAAGTTCAAACGTTATTAGCGGTAAACTTTTCCCCTGTTCTTGCAGACTGGTGAAATACTGCGCCACCTACAACAGCCACGACCCTTTCCTCTCCAAGTGTCTTCCCAGCAACCCCTGGCTCACCGATGACATCACATATTGGACTTTGAACATGCCCAAGTGCGTCGGCTGAGGATGACGCATAATTTGTTTTGTATTCATTGAGATTCAGCTAAATTTTAAATAATGCGCATTTCTTCAATTTAACGATTTTCTTCCTCTGTGGTTATTTGTGTGTGCGGCAGTGTGGAAATACCAACTAAAATGCGTGTGGAGAGATGGACGTTCAGCTTCGGAGAGCTGCTCTCAGACCCTCGGGGACGAGATGATTTCAGACTGTTCCTGAAGAAAGAATTCAGCGGTATGATGGTCGATTACAGAAATATTATTGTTGCAAACTTTCTACACTCTAGATTCATTCTTGGTCCTACAGTGTTATTTTTAACCATGAAATAAGCTAAGAGTGGCATACTAACTGTGTTTTTTAAAACTATTTTCTATTCTACCTTGAACCGTTTAAGGTGAGAACTTGGCATTCTGGGAAGGTTGTGAGGATCTGAAGTGGGGCACAGCTGCGACGATGAGAGAGAAAGCAGAGCAGATCTATAAGTAATGTCTTAATTTCTAGTCTGTGATGGTTAATCAATTAACTGATTAGTCCATTAGTCAATGACAGAAAACTAATAAGCGGCTATTTTGATAATCGCTTGATAATTGTTTCAGTTCATTTTCAAGCAAAAAACGTGGAAAAAAATAGACCAAACATTGTCTGGCTGCAGTTTCTCTGATGTGAGGATTGCTCCTGAGCATTTCTTCACATTTCATTAACTGAGCAATTAATCAACTAATGAAAATTAATTGATAATAAAAATTATTGCTAGTTGCATCCCTACTTGGAAAATTGATTGATGAGTAAATGATAAAAAAAAAAGAAAGTTTGTCATTTACATTTTTAGCTGTTGGAATGTTTTTGCCATTAATCGAAAACCTGCTGCAACAACGGCTCAGAATCACGTTGTGTAGGCGAGTATTAAACTGTTTCCCATGTGTTTCTCCAAATCTCTTGATCCAAGGGCCTTCCTGGCCCGCGGTGCACCACGGTGGATCAACATCGACGGAAAGACAATGGAAGTCACAGTCAGTGGCCTGAAACACCCACACAGATACGTCCTGGACGCAGCCCAAACCCACATCTACATGCTCATGAAGAAGGTCAGTAAACGCACCAGTAGGTGGGTTTAACCACAAGATAACGTTGTTTAAGTTCCCACAGGCTTACACTCACCATCACTAAACACCCACTGATTCATGATGCGATTGTGTATATTTTGCAGGACTCATACGGGCGGTACATGAAATCTCCAGTCTTTAAGGATACAATGAAGAAGGCCATCTGTCCTGAGGAGCACAAGTTCTCGTAAGAGGCTACTTTCAATTCACCTATTCATTACCTTTTTTTTTTTTTTTACATTCAATAAGCATCTAGAACATTTATCTGCTGCTTAAATTGAAAATAAAAGTTGAAAAAGTCAGCCTGAACTCTGTTATCTTAACCAGCCTGATAAAGAAACAGGTGCACAGTCAGAAATGGCAACAAATGCGGAAAAGGAAGCGTTAACTGTTCACCACAAAGACATAAGAGTGACGAAGGTCTGAAAAACCACAGTTTATGTTTCTCATCTCTCTGGCTGATATTAGTGTCCCTGTAGCTTCCTTCCATCACTCTCCAAAACTTAATTTTCACCTTATCTCCCCCTCCCTCCTCTTCTCTTATTCTCTTTTTCTTCTCTTACTCATCTATCTCCTTGGATCAATCCTTCGCGGTCTCCCAGTGATTCCCAGTTGGAGCAGAATGCGAAGAACAGACGGCCCAGTCTCAGCCCCATCATCCTCCGGCAGCAGGAGCAGGAGCAGAGGGCAAAGATGGCAGCCAGTGCCCCCGTTGACATCACACAGGTCATGAGCAAACTCAGCAAGCAGGGCAAGGAGGTTCCCCCTCGTCCTCCTCCTAAGAAATGAACGCAAACGTGATCAGTGTTGTAGGAGCTTTAGATACTAACAGTCAGGGTTTGGATCAGTTGAAATTTTATTGAATTTTTAAAATGTATTTATCTAAAAAGAAGCTGTAGTTAATTTGTTTATAATGATAATATCTACATTTTGATGCCATTTAGCTTCAGTTTAAAGCTGCTAGAATAAATATTTTTATTATAACAATGGATCAAACGGCTAAGTGTAAACTGAGAAGAGCTGCTCGTACTGTAATTGCAAACTCACAGAGAGTTATCACTCAAATGTAGCCCCCTCCAGTTCTATGGAGCTTTTTAGTGTCTTTTCAGCTCATTGTTTTGGTTTTCAGCGAAAATGCTCCCAAAACCAAAGTTAAGGAGTCGCTGGTGAACAACATAACACCAACAGACAACAGTTTGCAAATAAGTTCAGCATATTAACCTGAAACAGTTGGTTTCTGCTGCCCACAAGTGGACAAAAACTAAGCTGTTGCAGGTTTAGTGGTATTCAAACATACACAGGCTTATAGTACACATCCTCACTCATGTCCAAGAATCACAAAGATCTAGTTCCAGTGTGACATTTTTTGTGCTGCAGAAGTCTTTGCTTTTTTTTTTTTTTTAAAAGCTAAATGGAAAGTGATGTGGGAATGGGAACATGCAATACTGAAAACTCAATATAGTTGCACTGTATTAAAACCACTGTTAAACAGGCACATTAGGTTGTAGAGGTATATACATAGTAAACTAAAATGAGGGCCAGTTACACCTTATAGAAAAATGTTGCAATCCTTCCCACTTCTCTCTTTTGGTTTGAAGTGCTGCAAATAGTTTTGGTTTCACATGTATTTTCCCAGGTTTTTAATATTTACCCCTGAGACTTCTGAGGGTGTTTCTGCTCCACAAATTAAATGTATTTACCTGGCAAACGTCTCAGTGCCAAATACAGCAAAACCTGAACTAACAAAACCACCATGAGAAGTAAAGTGTTGTGATTTGGGTGAACTGAGCCTTTAAACACACTAAATTACACACACAAGTCATGTTCAGTGCGAAGAGAGGACAAATGACAATGTGGAGACATCTGTTACCATCTGGTGCATTTCTGTCCGAACAAGCTGTAACTGGTGTGTGTCATGCTGTTTCTCATAATACATGTGTTGTACTGTCCATCTCCACTCATACAGTGTTCTGTACTGTTACTGTGTGTTTTCTCCGTCATCAGTCATAAGCTAATAAAACATACACAAACCACCTCATGTTCATGTGTTTGTCTTGAGTTGTCATTCACTCACTGTTTGTATGAAGTCTGAACGTCACGTTCCCACAAGCTGTCAACCTCATCTGACTCCGACTCTGATGATGATGATGATGGTCCTGATTACTTGCAATGAGACTGGAGAGTAGAGATAGCTTATCTCATTCTTCCTGTGGTACTTCCTGTATCATTTTCCTGTATACTCTTTCTTTCTTTCTTTCTTTTTTCTTTCTTTCTTTCTTTCTTTCTTTCTTTCTTTCTTTCTTTCTTTCTTTCTTTCTTTCTTTCTTTCTTTCTATTACAGCCAGAACAATTGGTTTATTGCTAATTAATCGACGAAATCCACAAAATTAATCGCAAACATTTTTTGATGAATTGAGTCAGTTTTCTAGCAAAAATGCTAGTGAATATTTTGGGATATTTTGAACTGTTAGGTGACATGTATTGTTTATAATTACTCTGTCCTTTTGTTATGGAAGTGACCTGAACATCATGGTGTTTATGTAGGTTAAACATCATGAAGCTCATGAAGTACTTATGTACGGGTAATGTACAGAGGGAACCACCAGCTGAACATTTTCCACAATGCACTCACATCATTTATGGAACGAATCCCTCTCATGTTCCCCTTTAACTTGTGTCTCTTGCCCTTTGACCTCACAGCTGTGCCGCTTCACCACTCCTGTCCCCCACCTCGCTGTCTACTCTGGGTTCACTGAGTCCCCCTCTGCCAACGCCTCGCCCTCTCTCCCTTTCCTGGCCCACACCCCGGCCTGTCCATCCCCCATCAGCGTGGCCTTAGACAGCACCTCGGCCTCTGAGCGGCGAGTGGAGGCCAGCGAAGGAGAAGGAGAGGGGAACCCGGAGGCCCGAGCCCCCGCAGGTGGAAATGTATCCAAGTCTCGCATGGCTCTCTCGCTGCGCCGTCTGCTGAAGCGGGGCTGCACCCCCTCCACCATGTTCGCCAGCTTGTCGCCTAAATGCCACTCAGCTGCCGGGACAAGTAGCCGAATTCAGCCAATCAGCCCGGATCAACCCAGTCACGCTCCACCCAGACGGATTGGCAAGTGAGTGTGTGGCACAAACACTTACAAAAACAGTTCTGCATGTAAACTACAACACCATATCCTCACTTATCATATAGTCAGAAAGTAATATGTTTTTACTGTGATATGTTGTCATTGTTTCAACTTTAATCTAATTATCTAAAGATGACACACTGTCCTAATACTTTCTAATTGTAGGCAACTGTATTTTAACAGAACATGGGTATCAGACATGTGTCTTACACCAAGCCCTTTCTGCAACCTTGAACAGTTTCTTCCAGATTAAAGTGGATATTCCTCCAGAGTGCCGTATCTACCCCATAGAGTCTGAGGATGAGGAGGAAGAGAACAGGGCTGCCTCTCGGGGAATGGTGGGAGCCAAAGAGATCATCTGCCCCTGGGAGAGCCTCACTCCACAGAATGGGACGGGCTAATAGGATGGATTAACACAGGTATAAAAAATGTGGGTTTTTAAATCTGTGTGGAACAGACGCAGCGTGTCTGTTTAAACAGGCTGGCAGCAGATTTTCCCCATGTTCTGACAGAGATAAAAGATCTCATACAGCGCACGACGGGGAAAAGTCTCTGTGTTTATTGTCCCTGTGTAAATGTGGTCATATTCTCACCACTAGGCCACTAACTACAACATAAATACCAAACAACGAGAGGACTGACAAAAAACTGTCAATCTGAGATGATGTAGAGATGGCTGTTGGTCTACAATAGACTGAGCATCAACTTACTATGTCCAGACTCCTTAAAGGAAACCTATGTTTTGAGTATCAAACATTCACTGCCTATAGGTTTTAAAGGGGCTATATGTAGGTTTTTGCTAGCGCTACATAGCCAACCTCAGCATTAACAGCTTTTTACTTACCAGTCTAGAAGAAATTGCAAGTTCAGCATCACACTTCATTCCTTTACTCACCAACAGTATTTCCTTCTATTTCTATCACTTCTTTTCTTGTATTTAAGTTAGCATGCTAACTAGCTAGCCCCAGCCGGGCAAGTCTGTCACTTCACTTTCCAATAGGGAGTCACTGTAGTGTCCCGTCTGCCCTGAAGAAGTAGTGCTGCTCAGAGAGCGTATTATAATCTCTAGCCTTGTAAACACAACAATGGCCGAAGCTCTTGTTAAACGAAAATCACTGCCAACCACTCCTGGCAAGAAACCACATTCTGCAGCCATTAAACTCACAAATAGCACCTTTAAAGGACCTGTCTGCATAATCCTCTTTGCCCTGGAAAATACAGAGAGCATGACCTCAGTGGTAAGTGGCTGTACTGAGATCAACAAGCTCAAACAGAGGTTGAATTGAGCTATATTTTGGCACATTTTAGCAAAAGTATGACTATTGGAACAAACCTACGCTTTACAAGCCAACAGGCAGTTGAGTGTTTGATACTCAAAACATATGTTTTTGGTGGAGTATTCCTTAACCTAGAGCCTTATTGTCACCAACCTTCACTGATGTGGGCACCAGCTGAGCCAGCTGTTTAGTTTTGTCAGGCCCAAGACGACAACAGGGTGTATGAACATCCAAGAGCTTCAAAACCTGAGCTGTAGCTTTCACATTCAAACCTCATATCTTGTTATGAACAGTAGCCCAACAGCAGCCTTATCCACCTTCACACACCTGTGATTTCTTTTATTTCTTGGCCTTGGAAGTTTCTACAAAGCAGGCATACACACAGACATGTTTGAGAACCAGCGCCACATGATAACAAAAACTATTAATGAACTAAAATCTGAATAAAATTATTTTGTGATTGCAAAGAATAAAACTGATAATCACTAAGTTATTATATATTTAAAAATAGATCCATGTTTACATCCTAGAGAGCCAAAGCAAACTGACATATATAGACTGCCTGTGCACATGCCTGCTAAAAAATATAGATAATGTATTTGTATATTTACTGAATAATGATCAGTTTTCTGAAGTAGAGAAGTGTTCTTGTGCTGCTAAATAGACTTAGATGCCTCATCCCTAATTTACTTACCTCTTACACACACAATGTGAAATGACCGAATAGATGCATTTCAGGTACAAAGGGAGCACATGAGCCGTTTGTCCACATGTTGCTATATCTGCTGGACCACTCCTGTCAGATGTGCACTCTTCATGAATGAAGAATTACTGTAAAAGGTGGGTCGAGTAATAGTTTTGAATTTGGCTCCACTGCTGTTTTGTACACTCTGTGTAGCTGTTGTATACTGTACACTACCCTGAGCGAGGTGTTAATATTTTTCTCACGTGTCTCTCCATTGGTGGTGGTGGGAGGGGGGTGGAAGAGCTCCTGGGGAGGGGGGTGGAGGGGTGTGTGTGTGTGTGTGTGGGGGGGGCAGTACAATGTGAATCAATTGTCAGAATGTATTATCTTTACCATGTTTACAGATGCAAGAATGTGAAAAATACCTTGAATTTGTTGTATTTGATTTGTACATTCCATGGCTTGTGTCAAGTGCCTCAATAAATGACTGTCTTAACAAAAAGGTTCACCTTGATAATACATGATGATCCTACATCCTACATCCTACATGATAACTTAAAGGGCCTGTTCCTCCAAATTATAAAGCATAGCTTAAAGCATTAAAACAAATTCTATTCAATAATTTAAAAACCATGTCCGTCTCCAGAAACAATATCCCTGTAATAGTGGATAATCCACAAAACAAGACTATTTCTTTGGTGGAAGGTCTACTGATTACTGTATGTCGAGCAACAAGAGCACTTAATATATCTTTGAAAGAAAAGTTTCTGTTGAATATTTTAAGTCATTTTAAACAGTGAGATTAAAAGTCAGTTTCATGGTCTGCAACTTTGACATGCAGCTGCCAAGAAACAACAACAAACAAAAACAATATGTTTTTCCAAAGATTTGATACCTATTTTTGTTTTCTGGGGTTTTACTAAGGCTGGTTGACCACCATACACAATTTTTTTTTTTTCTTAAAGAAAATTGTTTTATATTTGTCATTTAACACAGCTAACACTTTTTGTTATACTGCTAACAGACGTTGCTTAATGAATGACGAACTTGTGCAGTTTGGGTGGATTGACCCTTTAAATTACTTCTTATGTAACTGAAAAAGTTTCCTTGATGTGTGAAAGCATTATTCTTCAGCCTCAGCCAGTGGTGATGACAGTGGTCAGCCACTAGGTGGGGATATAGCAAAGGCAACTGGATCAAGGTGCTTGTGTAAACTGATTGTAACATAAGCTGGTGCATGGGAATGAGAGATCCAGGTACATTAGTTCACTAAAACATTAAATATTTAAAGAAATTACCTACGTTTACCATTTGTAAGAACTTTTTTATACATTGTTCCTCATTATTACCTTCACCATGGGGGAAGTTATGAAACAGAGGCTATTTGAAACAGCTTTGGTGAACTGGCTCAGCTCCCCTGATATCTTATTTTGAACAGGACCTCAATACAGTCTAATATGATATAGATATTACTTGAGACTTTATGTGCATAAAAGCGAGTGTTTGAACTTGTTGTCAACACCATCTCTGCCATCACACATCTCACTGACTGATCTGGAGAAACACACTATCACTGAGGTTACTGAACTGAGGCTGAAGCAGAGCTTTGATCTGTCTGTGCGCTTTTGGTGTCTCTGAACAGAACCAGCCGATTGCTATCTCACAATACCCACACAGGGACGTCCACACACAGTCCATTCATACATTAGCTTACCAAGGCGGACCGAATTTATGCAATGCACTCAACATTCATCTGAGTTGTGCATATTTTAAAATATATTTGTGTGGAAGTATCTTTTAATGAAGCTTGGTGTTTGGTGTTACACCTGAATGAGTTTCTCAGAAGCCATATACGTTCTGTTTTTTAGTTTTAGGACATTTATACATTTTTTCCATTATCTGCCTTCGGCTCTTTGATTTCCCAAGTACCTATGA